GGCTCCTCTAGGAGGGTTGTTTTAGTAACTTTTTTTCTTAGTTATATATTTAATTTTTCTCTTTAGGTCTGGGCTGATTTTCAGTAGATTCGATCTGAAGAACAAACATTTTCTTTTGGTCTTAACTTAAAAGATATATTTGACTAACGATCTCTAGCAATAATTCTCAAATTGATATTTCCATCCATGACCTTTCTGCCAATCTCCAGATTTGTGTATACAGTTCCCTTTTAAACACCTTCACCACAAGCGCTACTGAACTCATAGTCTCCCTCCAAACCTATTTTAGCAGCAACCTTCCTCATCTGAATTGATGTCAATCTCATCCTTCTAGTTGTTCAATCCAAAAACACCGGTGTGATTCTTGACTCTCTGATAGCCCACTTCCAATTCACCAGCAAATGTGACTAGAAATGTGTTCAAAATCCAACCACATCTTATCAACACCACTGCTACCACTAAGCCACTATCATATCTTACCCAGATTATTGCGCTAGCCCCCTCACTGGTCTTTCTGCCTGTAGTTTTGCCTCAAATGTAGTCTATTCTTCATAAGCAGTCACGAGTGATTTTTCTTTGATGTGAGACTATGTCACTCTTCTGTTCAAACTCTATCTAGATCCCATTTCACTTTGGATAAACTCTCAAGTTTTTAGGAGCTTAAGGCTTCTAAGTCCCTAGATATAAATTTATATTAATAGTTCCATTGAGATGATACTCTTAAGTGAAATAAACAGGACACACACGTGTAAATAGTGTAAGATAGTGTGAGATACTGAAAGAGATACTAGAGATAGTGTGAGAAACTGAAAGTGTAGGGCTAAAAGGTATAATAGATAATGTGAAATAGGAAGAAAAGAGGCAAAGGGGAAGGGGAAGTGGGAGGGGTAGGGGAACGGAAAGAAGGGAATGGAGAAAATGAAAAAATGGAAACAAAGTCTTTGTAAATAGGGAGGGATGGAGGGGTTTAAGGGAGGGCAGGGGAAGGGGGAAAAATAAGAATCAAGAGAGTATGTAAAAGTGCACATCTCCAATGATGAATGTCATTATGTTGTACACTTAAAATGTACCAAATAAAAGGATATACAAAAAAATAGTTTCCTTGTTCTAGTGCTATCCAATACTTTGCAAAACCCAGGTGTGAAAATAAGTTACTGTGACAAGCACTGTACTATCATAAATCCAGGCCAGTCATAATCAGTGCAACCTCCCTGGAGTGCACAGTTTATCCATACAAATTTGAACTCTGTTAAAAATATTTGTCCAGTTCATTAATGAATATTATCCTTGCTCTATCTGTAGAGAAAACGGACTGCTATGTGACTAAAAATGTAAACAGGAAAGAGCTCTTTGCTGTTCCTTTAGGCACCCCCCCATTTGTTGTTTAGTTTTTATAAAGCACTTATAAATTCACTGTGTGCAATAAATGCGTGGTAAAAATCAATTGCATTAAATGCAAGCAATTCTTGGCCATGTCAGCTTTTAAATTTATCTACACTTTGTATTCCTGATATCTGTTCTTGTTCCTGTCAGAAGCATGAACCAATTTCATGATAAGAAGTTGCACAAAACACCCTTCCTTCTTTGATGTTTAGTAAAGTTATCCTCTTAACTTAGAGAACTAGAGGAGATTTTTGCCATATCTCTTTGGAACATCACCATTAGTGACTCAGTTGGAAGTACATAAAAAGTTGAGTAGTAAGGGAAATATGGATCTCAAAGTCTGTGCACTTTGCTCTAGCCAAGTGGAGACTCACGCTCAGGTTTGAGCCTGTGAATAGGGAACTTTCTGATTGAACTCCTTGGTTATCTAGCTCCCACTTAGATCTTAGACAGCAGGTCAGAAACAAGGAAGGGATTTTCGGTGGGTAGGGCTGCAAGAAGTTGATACTCCAAGAAGTAACAGTGAGCTCAGAATGTGCAGAGACAACAGAGTTAATAGAAATAAAGTTATTTAGAATCATTTAATGGAAAGTCTTGAAAACATTGTCACATTATAGCCTAGCCAGTAAATAATGTTCTAGACGATTACACTGAGTCATCTGAAAAATAAGAATTATATCTAGGCAACATTCTGATTAGAATGGAATATGTTTCAAGGAAGGTGGTCCCTAAAGTGGCTTTAAAATGTGCTTTTTTTTTTTTTGGTACTGAGGATCGAACTCAGGACCTTGCACTTACGAGGCAGGTGTGGCACCACTGAGCTAAATTCCCAACCCTAATGGCTTTAAAATGTAAAACTGGCATAATTAAAGCAGTACATTTTAGGTTTGCTTGTGTGGCCCATGACAGATCATGAGGACTTACTAGACCCGTATGAAGTTAGCTGATGATTGAACCTATGACTGCATGGAGAGAAGAGATCTCTCAGAGAGCTTGGGATCCAAATTCAACCTTACTATTGGTTGCAGGAATTTGGGCCAATCATAAGAACATTAGAAAGCTCGGTTTCCTTAATTCTAAAATGGGTGTCACAATTCCTACTTGTAAATGTGGCTGTGAAGAGCCTGGTGAAAAGTGTATGAAATCACGAAGACAGTATCTGTGGGCACTGGGAGGGAGTCATCAACATTTGTGACAATCCCCTTCTTCTTCAAGATTGCAATGATAGATTCAGTTTTCTTCTTTCTTGATCTAGGTCTTATGCCAAGACTCAACCATAATTAGTGTAAAGCTAATGATATATTATATCCACTGCATAGGGATGATGTATTATATGAATTAATACATGAGAGCACAAAGAATAATACCAGAAGCCTAGCAGTAAAAGCCACTCAAAATGAAAGGAGTTGTGCAATAATGAGTAATCTTCCATAGTAAACTATCTTCAAGGTCATCCTTCAAGGACACCGCAGCAGAGATTGGCTGAGAGCTTGACTCAGAGTTTCATCTAGACTGTAGGACCCTGCATTGTTGAAGTTTGCTAGCTGGTGTTGAGATAGCAGGATGGAGGAGCTCACCAATGGAATGAGCAGGGTCATTTGTGAGAGGGAAAGGGAGGCAGCCAAAAAGGCTCATGCTCTCAGCCAATCTCTGCTGCGGTGTCCTTGAAGGATGACCTTGAAGATAGTTTACTATGGAAGATTACTCATTATTGCACAACTCCTTTCATTTTGAGTGGCTTTTACTGCTAGGCTTCTGGTATTATTCTTTGTGCTCTCATGTATTAATTCATATAATACATCATCCCTATGCAGTGGATATAATATATCATTAGCTTTACACTAAAGAAATTAGGTGCAGGGAGATTGTTTCAGGGGACATTTGGATCTAGTTGTAGCACTTTGCATTTTGCTAAATCCCTTATTGAAAAAGAAGGTATACTACGTCTTTGAGTTTTTTTTAAAAAAGCAATTGTATTCTTTTATCAGGGGAAATAAGTCAGGCAGCATCTGACTTGCTCCTAGTGAATCCCTAATGAACCACACACACATTTTTCCAAGCGCAAATCACATTGTAAACATTGTATCTTATAGTTTTGTTAAGTGTCATGGTCAAACATGTTCTATCTTTTATGACTGCACCCCCACCTCCATTCCTTTTGAAAGCTAGAACAGCTCTCTTGTGTGTCCAGTCTTCTGATATTTTGTTTCTCCATTATGCATTTTTTTGGGCTAGTTGTTTTTCTGGGACCCACCCCCTGGGTCTTCAGTGGATTCTTTCCATTCTCAGAATAGGCTGAGAGAATACTTCCAGGTAACTATCAGAATGTCAGCAACTTCAGCAAAAATTCCAGCAATTCAGTCACTTCTTGCTGTTGGGTGTCCTCAGCTAGTTTTCCTACAGAATCAGTGTAAACAATTCTCCCATTTCATTTGCTTCTCAGAAATTCTTGGCTTCAAACATTTTCCTACCTCAATTTATCTTAGGCTTCTAGTCCATCTATTTTTAGCTTGGATCTCATATTTTGCTTTCTCCATTTCAATTTGATCATGTTAATCTAATTTTCTGCCTTGATGAATTACATTTGGACTACTTTGTTCTCCCTCTCACCCTCAAACCCAAGTGTTTCATTCAGGAGGTTACAGGAGCCTAGGTGTGCTTCTGCTTTTATTCAAGTAACATTACAACTCTTTGTTCAGAGACTCACGTGCTGCTTCCCTTTTTGTCGCCTGTTGGTCCCCTAATGCAGGTGAGAAGGAAGTAGATTTCAGCTTCTTGACTATTGAGGAAGCCTTACTGAAACTTCTTGGACTGGATTTCTCCCATCTCACTTTCTCTAAACAGTCTTTATTATTATTTTTTGTCTTGTTTTTGGTACCGGGGATCGAACTTGGGACCTTGTGCTTGTGAGGCAAGCGGCAGCACCATTGGGCTAAATCCCTGGACTAGTCTTTATTATTATTTAGGTCTGACAACTGCTTTATTTCCTCAAGGAGTGGTATATTTGATGCACATTTGATGCAGTGGAATTAATCCATCATCTTCATTAAAGGCACAAGTCCTTCTGTTGCTCTTTAACTATGACTCCATTATTATTATTATTATTATTATTATTTTGGTACCGGGGATCGAACTCAGGACCTTGTGCTTGCTAGGCAGGCTCCGGAACCACTGAGCTAAATCCCTGGCCCCTCCATTATTGCTTTTAAGCTGTAGACTACAATTTAGTTAAGTGCCTATAATCTGAATTCAGACCACATGGACCCATGTTCTGGCTCCACCACTTATTAGACAAGTGAGATTTGGCAATTTACTTAAGCTCAGTGTCATAACCAATAAAATGGCAATAAAAATTTGCTTATAGGTTTGTTGTGATGCTTAAATAAAATATCACAACAGAAAGCATTTTAAACAGTTATTTTTCCCACTCTACAATAATATGTAGAACTGTGGAGTAAAGTTAAGTAGTGGAAATTTTTTAAGGCTTGATTATTGTCATTTCATCTGAACCTGGAAGACTTGTTTTTCTGGGTGAAGAAATGTTTTCTCTGTGTGAAGGTTTCATAATCACAATGATGCAGGCCTATGAGCCTTCCCTCTTAAAGTGGCTGCTCTCTTTTATCTGTGACATGTCTACACCCTGGGAATAAGAACTGAGTCAGCTCCTGAGATTCAACAGAATGACTGCTAAGGTCTCTTTATATTCTGTGTCGCCATGATCCCTTGGCTTTGGATGACCAGCACTTGACATCGACACTCTTTGGATTTCATTCATGTGGAGGCATTCTTACTTTGTGATGACCTCAACTGAGTTTTAAACAGGTAAGTGAAAGGGAAGGAGGCAGACAATGAAGTCAGCCACAGAAGCAGTGTTTAACGTGGTCATCTGGGAAATAGAAAATGAACCTTTTTAAGTTTTCCAAAGCCATCTCAGGAGAGTTAACCTGTGTAGAGAAGAGTAGTCTTACAATTCTTAAAAAATAGCCATGGTAATTAAAATGGGTCAGAAAAAAGGAATTCTATAAAGACAAAGGCAAAAATCATTTATCTGGAAGGGAAAAATGTTACCCAAGTACATTATTGAGTTTCTGTGAAGATGAACTTGAAATAAAAATAAAGGAGGGGTAACTATGAATTGAATTGTCCAAAATATATAAACACCAACATTATCTCTCTGATCTTTAATTCCAACCCTCTCTCATTACTGTAAAATCATAACACCCTCAGTGTACCTTCAACAGCTTTTTAGGAACATATTAACCAAATGCACAAGTTTGATTTGGCTGTAAAGTACTAGGGGAGCTAAGGTTTTCTAGGATTAATGAATAACATGTCTTTATTTGGTTTACTTAAAAACTCATTCTAAAATCTGTTTACATATCTGTCCTCTCCAGGATTAACTTTATATTGGTTCAGCAGATTGTTTACTGTTTTCCTCTTGTCTTTTTTTTTCCTTCACTCCTCAGTGCCCAACCCAAGTTCAAAGGCTGAGGAGAGAGAAAAACTCACGAGGAGATTTTACTCTAGGGAAAGTTGTTCAGTGGATGGGATCCTGGCTCACAGGGAAAGATGTCAGGCTCTCTTTGGCTCTTTCTCACCCTCGTTCCTGTAACTGCGGCTCAGCTCACTAGGGAGGAGCAGGCCAAGACATTTTTGGACAAGTTTAATCAGGAAGCTGAAGATCTGTCATATCAAAGTTCACTTGCTTCTTGGAATTATAACACCAATATTACTGAGGAGAATGTCCAAAAGATGGTAAGTTCTCAGGTTGCATAGCAGGTATTTATTGCTTTGTAAGATTTGAATTACTGTCCATAAAAGTGAAAAGGGAAATCAAAGAAATCTCTGAGTCGTGGAGTTGCATGTTTGTCTCTGTATCTCTGACTCTGGAGTCTCAGATGACTAAAGTTGATTGACCTTGGAGTTCATTTGAAAAATTGTTAGAAAATAATTCACTGGTCTCAGTCTAGATTCTAGAAACAAGTGAATATGCATTATAAAGTTACCATCATAATTATCATAGCATTTCATGGAAATGCCATAAGTTATTGAGCCAATAATTTCCTCTACCCTATAAGAACATCTAAAGATTTTGCAAATAACATATTAACTGAAAAATGCAACTGGAGTCTTACAGAGAGAACCAGCTAGTAATTAAGTTAACCATGGGTAGAGTGAGACTGCACTTGGGAATTCCTTCTGTCATTGTCACAGACCTCTGAGGGACTTCCAAAGGTCACAACAGAGTTCTCAAAGAAAAATTATAATAAAAACAGTTCTGAAAAATTTCAGAATGCTCTGGGAAAATAAGATGCGTTGTTTGACAAATGCAAGGAATTAAGAATTTTTTTTCACACACCCTAAAACAGTATCCTTGCACTTTTAAATGCTGGAAAATTGAACAATTATTTAAGAAAATATTTTTGTGTCGTGTGGTCACTGATTCTTTTCTTCAAAAATCGAGTTTGGAATCTTGTTTTTTCAAATGATTAGTGTATTGCATGTTTAAATTCAATTACTGGCATTCACTGGACAGATCAAATCTGAGAGCTGCCACCTCATCTGAAATCCCCAACATATATTTTTTGTAAAGCTCAAAAAATACAGATTTTGACACCCATATTGTCATAGGAGATGTTTTGTCCTGTTTCACATTTTTGTCTTATGTCTCTTCATTTCTTCATTGAAGCTTTCCCCCTCATTTTGAATTTGATTTCTATTGGAAGTGACTGCAGTGTAGTGTGTGTTTGTTTTCATTCTTGGTTAAATGTTGAATGGCTTGATGGTGAAGGTATACTAGCATCATGCCTAAGAGCTCTGAAGCCAGTCTACCTATGTCCAAATCCTGGCTCCACAACTTTTTAGCTGGGTGAACTTGAACTAGTTAATTAGCCTTTCTGGACCTTAGTTTCTTCATCAGTGAAAAAGAAAATAATATTCATCTCTACCTCATAAGGTTGCCATGAAGACTGGATTAATACACAAAATCAAAATTACCAGACTAGTGCTTGGTGCTTATGGGCATGGAAGAACAGTAAGACAACATTATTATTAGTGTGAAGGACAGTTACAAGTTTTGAAGAGACATACAACAGTTCTGTTGAGAGCCCATATGCAAAAAAAGCATGTTATAGAATGAGATATAGTACTGTCTATGAAGCTACCTCTAATCATTAAAGTGCTATTATTTTTTAATTGCACAGATTGATTAGAACAAAGAACAGAAATGAAAAAGTGTGAAGCGCTAGATATGTCTAAACCCAAGGAAAGTAAGGACCCTTTAAGGGAAAAATGAGAACATTTAAATGCAAGAAGCAAGCAAGAGGCCAGATATCTCCTTCAAGTAGTGGTGAAGGGTGCATTGATATACTCAGGTGCACCTGTGTGGGTTTGCCTGGGAAGACAGTGGGTAGGGAGGGTTGTGGATCCTCTTTTATTCTCTGATCACAAGTACTGAGATCTCTTTAGCTGGGTGTGGTAGTTTATACTTGCAGTCCTAGCACTCAGGAGGCTGAGTCAGGAAGATCATGAGTTCGAGATGTACTGGGCACTGTGACAGGGGTTCTAAGAGGTGCCAAGATGAACAGATTGCTAAGATATGGTATGCTTTCCAGGCAGTGAGGGCATGTTTAATGTGGTCATATGAAAGTGTCCAATGATACAGGAAGTGCGGACTCTGGGGCCAGACACTGGGTTCTAATCCTAGCTCTGAATATTACTAGATGAGGGTCTTGAGCTAGTTTCTTAACTCCCTTCTGTCCCATTTTTCTCATCTGTAAACTGAAGATTATGACTATAATACTAGTAATACAGTATATATTATATAGGATTGCTGAGGTTAGAGAATATAAATTCTGTGTGTGTGTGACATGTGACACTGTGTGTGCTACTTAGCTTTCTCTACATCAACATTGACCATGACAGTATTGTTATTCAGGGGTTTTGCCTTCTGAAATACCCACAGTCTTACTGCTATCTCAAGTTGGTTGTTCTTTTTCAATAAATAAAGACTTTTCAGTAAATACCTAAAAAATTCAGAGCTGAGGGAAGCCAGAGCCTCCTATTTCTGAGATTCACAGTACAAATGTGGGAGAACATGAACTTGGGGGCAGGCAATGCAGTTCCCAGAAACAACCATAATGTTCCTTTCTTTGACTGTTTCTTGGCCTGCAGGAAGTAGAGAGCTTAGGGTCACGAATTAAGAAATATCAGCCTTGGCCTGTGTATATTGACAGCAAACCTTTCCTGTACAAAAGGGAGAATTTGTGCCCATTAATTTATATCTGATTTACTTTACCTTATGTTTTACCACAGACCAGCATGTGTTCTTTAAGACATGTACTGACTCACTAAATTAAAAACAATGTAGATTTGTTGTAATGAAACTATCATTTAAACGCATAATGAAATTATTGTATTTAATTAATGCATATAGCTAGGACCAAAATAGGATATATTTTTGAATATTTATAAAATATAATGTAGCATTTTACCATTCCAGTCCTTGAAGTTGCAAAGATCTTTCACAGGATGGAAATATGGGGTCCACTACAGATACAGAGAGAGGGCAGAGACTGTCTTAATTTTTTGTGGTTATCCTCAACAGTGTATGTCTTGTCCCCCACACCTTCCTCCCCCACCAATGTGGCTGCAGAAAACTCTATTGTTTCAGTTGCTTCTGTCCTGCCTTTGCACAGAGGTGGTGTGGACTGGAACCTATTTCACGTATAATAGTTCCTTTCAAGCCCTGGAGCTATGTAAACTGCTGTATATGTTTCATTTCATCCATCATTCGGGTCTATAAACTACATACAGCTATGGGCCATTACCTAGACCATCTGATTGGTATGCATGAACCGACTGTGATTCTCTGACTAACAGGAGCTGTTTGCTTTATTTAGGCTCAGGAATCTCAGCATAAGGATATGAAATACATCATAAATAATACTACAAAGAATAGCTTGGGAAGGAACAGTATGTCCTCAGGGGCCAAAATGCAAGGCAATATAAGTTTTTGGTGATACAAAGTATAACACTTGTAGAGTGATAGTGACAAATAAAATCAAATCAGATAGTCTGAAAGTTCCGACAAGCAGTATAATAAAGAAAAGGTTCTAAGACGGAGGCATTTGGGGGATTGTGCTTTTTCCAGAAGAGATCAAGAATACATTTGTTTATATAATTTGGCTTCAAAATTTTACCAGAAATGTTACTTGACAGTAAATTCTCTTGGGCTGGATGAAGAAAGGTAGGAATTGTGAAGTGAGTGGTGGGTTGCACAGTTCAGTTTGGTTTATAGTCCAGAGTCCTCTTTTTTTTTCTCCCCGTACCAGGGATCAAACTCAAGACCTTGCTCTTGTGCTTGCGAGGCAGGCGCAGTGCCACTGAGCTAAATTTCCAGCCTCTCAGAGCCCTCTTTCAATAACTCACTCACACACATCAGAGAGAGAGGCCAGAATGTGTATGTGTCAAATACAATGAAAGGACAGTGGTTCTGAGCAGGAGCTCTGGAGCTAAGCACACCTGGCTTCACGCCTTGGTTCTTCCAGTTACTAGCTGTGTGACCTGGGAAAAGTTACTTTGCTCTGTGTCGCATTCCCACTAGTTCTGAAATAAAGATGGTGGCTCCCTCAACTGTATTGTATGTGAACATGAACTGAGAAGCAGTTCCTGAAATGTTGTGAATGTTCAGTAAAGATAGAAATTTTTTTCTTTTTTCACTATCACCATTTTCTTCCTTTCTTTTCTGGTCCATTACTTTTACTTCTGTGCACCATTTTCATCATGTCACAGGCTTGCTCAGAGCCTCTCACTGGGCCTAATGCTCAAAAGATAGCAGTAAAATTCCTTGCCCTGGAAAGTGCAATCATGCCTAGTGTTCTGCCTTCAAGAGGTGTACTAGTCACCTATTGGATAAAAAGTTACTGCAAGGTTAGTGACGTAAAATAACACATATTTATTATCTCAAAGGTTTTGCAGGTCAGGAGTCCAGGCACAGTTTCGCTGAATCCTGGAAGTCTCGTAAGGCTGCACTCAAGGCAGTGGCTAGCACTGTGTTCATGTCTGATGCTTGACTAGGGATGGATCCACTCCATGCTAACATGGCTAGTGTTACATTCAGATCTGTGCACGCTGCTGAACTGAGGTCTTTGCTTTACTACAGGATGCTATCAGAAGCGACTTTCAATTCACTTGCTTTTCTATAGAATATACATACCATGACATCTTGCTGCATCAAAGTCAGCAAGGGAGAAAAAAGCCCACATTTTTTTATCCAGTCTCCAGTTGATGGGCATTTGGGCTGTTTCCAAGTTTTAGCTATCACAAACTGCTGCTGTGAACATGGGTGCACATATATCACTGTGGTATGATTCTTTTAATTCTTTGGGGAAGATCCCCAGCAGGAGAATAGCTGGGTCAAATGGGACTTCCAGTCCTAGTTCTTTGAGGTATCTCCACACTGATTTCCACAGTGGTTTTTTTTTTTTTTTAAATTGGAGTACTACTCAGCCATAAAAAATGAGAAATTAGAGACATTTATAGCTAAATGGATGCACATTGAGGAGATACTCTTAAGCAAAATAAATAGGACACACATGTGTAAATACCAAATAGTTTCTCTAGTGTGAGAAACTGAAAGTGTAAATAAGGACTAAAAGGTATAATAGATAATGTAAAATAGGAAGAAAAGGGGCAAAGGGAAAGGGGAAGTGGGAGAGGTAGGGGAAAGGAAAGAAGGGAATGGAATTAATATGAGAAAATGGAAAAATGGAAACAAAGTCTTTGTAAATAGGGAGGGATGGAGGGGGTGAAGGGAGGGCAGGGGAAGGGAGAAAAATAAGAACCAAGAGAGATTATGTAAAGGTGCAAATTTCCAATGATGAATGTCATTATATTGTATACCTAAAATGTACCAATGATTAGAATGAATAATTGATAATGCAAAATAGGAAGAAAAGGTCTAAAGGAGTAGGGAAAGTGGGAGGGGCAGGGGAAAGGAAAGAAGGGAAAGGAAAAATGATGAGAAATGGAAAAAATGGAAACAAAGTCTTTGTAAATAGGGAAGGGTGGAGGTGGTGAAGGGTGCACAGGTAATGTGGAAAAAATAAGAACCAAGATACATCATGTAAAGGGACAAGTTCCCAATGAGAAATGTAAATGTATTGTATACCTAAAATGTACCAATAAAAGAATTGAAAAAAAAGTCAGCAAGGGAGAGAATCTTCTGGCATGATAAAAATTGCAATCTTATGTGATGTGAATATATACATCCCATCATATTTGCTGTAAGATATTGGTTAGAAGCAAATCACAGGTGTGTTCTTACTCGAGAGGAGGGGACTGCATGAGGGCATGACCACCAGAAGGTGAAGATCATGGGAGCCATGTTAGAGTCTGTCAGCCACAGGTCCAAGATTGAATGCTGGTGGACGATTGCCAGATCCATTATTTCTCTAGGCCCCTTTCTGCACGTATAAAATGGAGATAGAGTAATCTTCTATCTCATGGAGTTGTTGAAAAGCTCAAATGAGATAAATTATTTTGCAAAGTATTCCGTGCCCTCCAACTCTTACCTACTTTAAGTCCCTCCTCTATGAGGACTTGGCCAAATATGGTCACCTGCATGAGTTTCTTCTTTCTTGTAACTGAAACTGACTGGCCCACTCATAGTTTATAGAGTATTATATATGCATATCTCATTAATGAAACACTCATGATGCATACCTTATCCATCTGATGAAATTTTAAGCAACTTGAGGATAAGAGCCTTTTCTCTATAAGTAATAAAATAACATTTATTGAATCTTAGAATGTGTCAGGTGCTCTGGTTAGCATTTTATTATTTGTGAATTCTTTTAATCCTCACAACAACCCTTTTATGTAAGTATTATTATTATTATTATTATTATTATTATTATTTTACAGATAAGGTAACTGTGGGTCAGAGAGGCTAATTTGCCCAAGGTCACAAGCTAGTCAGAGACGTCTGACTTCAGGAATGAAGTTCTTATTGTCTCATATACTATCTCTTTTGTATGGCCTTAGAGCAGTGTGATGTACAAAGTACTTATTTATTTTAGGCTCTGATAAGTGGAAATAAATTTGTGCATTGAGAGAAGACTGCACTAGAGAAGTCTGGAGACATACACTTTCCTACTAATATTCATGATGGGGGATGCATCGCAGTGTCATCACTTGCTTATTGATTTCTTTTGCTGTTAAAAAATCACCATGACTGCTAATTGGCTATGTCTTGGGAAGACTTTTGGGATCACAACTTAAGCTCAGAATACTTGTACTAAGTAATGGCACATAGTAGCTTACTGTGATCTGGTGATCATTTCTCATGGTTCTCATGGTCATGAGGGACTGTATTCCCATCATGTCTACTCTGAGCTCTACTGGCTTCTCCTTTTAGAGCATTCTTCCTTGAATCCTTGGCCAGCTTACTCACGTCACAGCACAAAGGCCATAAATTCCAGGGTCTCACAGTATGAATTATCTGTGAGAATTCACATCCAGTTCTGGGGGACAGGACCCTTGGGAAAACTAAGCATTGGGCCGGAAAGAGAGAGTAGCCAAAAGTGGCCTGGTCACTCTTAACCTAAACCTTGCCCTTCCTCAGAGTGGGGGACTAAACCACTCTGGAAATAGTAGATGTTTCACCAGATGTTCCTTGTACTGTATCTTCTCTTCTATTAAAGCCATGCCATTCCAATTTCAATTTTAGTTTTTGCCATTTCAGAATGAGGCTGGTGCCCTTTGGTCTGCATTTTATGAAGAACAGTCAAAGCTTGCCAAAGCTTATTCACTACAAGAAATTCAGAATCTCACAGTCAAGCGTCAGTTACAGGCCCTTCAGCACAGTGGGTCTTCAGTGCTTTCTACAGACAAGAACAAACAGGTATGTTTGTGGATGTTTTAGTACTGATCCCAAGTGTTGAAATGTATGGGAGATATTAAACATTAATATCACCTATGGCTGCTTCCTTTATCTGCAAAGATAGTAATGCTGACATTAGCAGGATCTCTGTGCCTATGTAAGGTGACCATAGAAGTTATCTTTCTGTTGCTCTGACAAAATACCCAATAAAATCAATTTAAAGAGGAAAGATTTATTTGGGCTCATGGTTCAGAAGTGTCCCTCCATGGTTACTTGGCTTCATTGCTTCTGGTCAAAATATCATGGCAAGGGGCATGTGAAGGAGCAAAGAAGCTCACTTCTTCTTTTTTTTTGTTTGTTGTTTTGAAGCTCACTTCTTGATGGATAGGGGACAAAGAGAGAGAGAGGGAAACATCCAGGGACCAGGGACAAAATATACTCTTCAAAGGCACATCCTCAGTGCCCACTTCCTCCAACTATATCTCCATCTCCTAGAGAGTCCACTTCCTCCCAGTAGTGCTGCCAACTGGCAGCCCATCCTTTAGCACATGGCCTTTGGGGGACATTTAAGATCCAAAACATAACATCATCCAAACTGGAGTCTTTTTGAGAGTGAAAGAAGACACTGGGTTCTGATCCGCATAGAGGTGAGCAGAAATATGGTACAGTTCCCTGTGGTCTGCATCTATTAAAGCAGTCTAGCACTATATTAAATTGTTGTAGTTTTTTGTTTTGTTTTGTTTTTTCTGGTACCTGGGATCGAACTCAGGACCTTGTGCTTGTGAGGCAATTGCTGCACCACTGAGCTAAATCACCACCACAATTGTTGTAGTTTTTGATAGCCAAATGCCATGATTGGCTAATGTAACTCTCACTGCCAATGAAGTCCTTAAATCTCTCCACCAGCATTGTTCTAAAATGGCTCTTTAAAATTTCTATTTTTAGTTTGTCCAAATTAAAGAAAGCTTATATTGATTCCTGCAAAAATAGCATCTTTTGTCCAGCTCTCTAGCCCAGGAACCAGTAAACTTTCTTTCTGTAAAGGAACAAATAAGAAATGTTTTAGGTTTTGCAGACCATATTGTCTGTGTCACATTAGTCAACTCTGCCATTGTAGCAGGAAACGAGCCATAGCTATTACATAAAGGAATGAATGTGGCTGTGTTCCAATAAAATTGTACAAAAAGAGGCAGCAGGTAGGATTTTCTGCAGACCATAGTTTGCAGACCCCTGAGAGAGTCTATTGAAATATTTTTATCTGAAATATTTAGTTATTTAACATCAAATTCTTCCTTCTTAGCTATTTGTCTTCTGGAACTCTGTATGTCTTAATCCACATTTATAAAAATAAAAATTTCTGATAAGGATAGAGATAAAGCCATATGGCATTTATTTAGACAAGTCAATATTTATTATTCTGCATTCTTTGGATCCAATTATCTCACTAGCTATTAACCCACTTTATCTTATCCATTTCTTGGTTTTCCATAATTTTCACAAGGTCATTGTGAGAAGCTGGGCCCATTTGAATCTAGACAGGCTAGTCTAGCTTAGCTAGAACCTGGGCACTCCATTTTTGTTTTTTTTTTTGGTACCAGGGATCTAACTCGGGAACTTGTGCTTGTGAGGCTGGAACCACTGAACTAAATCCCCAGCCCGACACTCCATTTTTAAAAGATCCCCAGATAATTGTAATGTGTACTAGGATTAAAAGCTACACATTAAATGAGAGTAAGAGTTTGAAGTGTTTGGGAAGAGAGGATTCTCGAGGATGCATGTATTTAAAAGAGAAGAAGGAGGGAGATTGAAGATGTAGGTTGAGAAAGAGACCATACGGGGTTTTGTGCCAAGGTAAGGATTTTAGGTGTATTCCTTGGGCCACGGGATGCTGTCGCAGTTTTAAGCATGGCATTAATTTCATCTTTTAGGTTGATGGCTCTGTAGCAGAGTGAAAGAATAATGAAGGAGAATTAGGAGAAGAACAAACAGGATTTTCAATCCAGTGTTTGTTTCTTAAATCATCTGTGGAATAAAACCAGTCCCTCCCTCTCTTCCACTCCCTTCTTTCTTTCCTTCTCCCCCTCTTCCATTTGCTTCCTCCTTCCTTCCTTTATTTCCAATCCATCACAGATCAATACCCGGTTAATTTCATTGATTACATGCTTAGATGTCATGGAATATCAAATGTTTTTTATAAAGCTCATAAACATTTATTCTGTCAATGCCCATACTTATCACAGAAGGGAAACAAACCTTTTGCTGACTTGCACTGACCCATGGACCATAGTATGAGCAGAGCTACTTTACTCTGTTACTATGCTCCTCGTTCTCTATTGCCTAAAGTTTAAACTTTTGGGGGCATAGATGGTCCTTGTGATCTGTCCTCAGTGAATATCATCATTCTAGTTTTATACAGCATCCCATCACCTCTTGAAAATGCCTTGTCTTTTCCAACCTTCTCCCATTTTTAGGCTCTGTCCTCTACTTCCCTTCTTTACCTGACCAATTCTTACTTTCTAGAGACACAGCCCTAATGTCCTCTCCTCTTTGAAGCCATTCCTGAATCTCTAGAATACAAGTCTCCTTCTCCCCCACCCCAGACAACCCTGCCATATCACTTTTTAGTGACAGCTTATAGCACCTGCTATTATATGCTTATAGGGCTTTGTGCTAGTTTGCAGTGGGGAAACTTAAATATATTCCTTCCCTATGTATAGGAAAACACTTGGCAGAGAAGATATGAATTGCTGTTTTTGAAGCATCAAAAAATCACATGACCAAAAGGATATTTTATGTTAACATTCTCTTTAGCACATTTTCCATTTCTAATATTATTTATTATCTTTAATTTGCAGTTGAACACAATTCTAAATATGATGAGCACCATCTATAGTACTGGAAAAGTTTGTAACCCAAATAATCCACAGGAGTGCTTACTGCTTGAACCAGGTAGACTTAATTTTCAGTGATGATTCTGAAATATACTTTTATTCTCCAAGTTTTAGAAATTGACTTTAGCTGATGACTTTGTGCTTTTCAGATGGATAGTTCAAAGATGGTACCATTCCAAATAAGTGTGTTTCAGCACACAGATGCTCTTTTAACTTCAAAAAAACCTTAGTGTAAATTATATTACATTGAAGTAATTTAAGGTAGTGATTAAATTATTTCAGTAGTTTTTCTTTGCAGGCATACTGAGTAAGGGTGGTGGAATTAAGTAATAATTAGACTTCATTTAATAACTTTATGCCAACCTTCTTTTTAATTATTTAAGATTCATATACTTGTTTACAATTTTTTAAATGCATGTTTATTTTCCTTTGTGTGCTGTGGAATAATAGGTTTGGATGACATAATGGCAAAGAGCACAGACTACAGTGAGAGGCTCTGGGCATGGGAAGGCTGGAGGTCTGAGGTTGGCAAACAGCTGAGGCCATTATATGAACAGTATGTGGCCCTGAAAAACGAGATGGCAAGAGCAAACAGTAAGTGTCTCGGTCTGTTAAGGTCCTGCGGCTTTCTCTCTACCAGAACATGGGACTATTTCTCACGCATGACCAAGCCTGCTCTTTAATATGAAGGAAGATACCCTTAAATTAACAATCATTTGCTGAAACAGTCAGCTTACCTGTCTCAAAAAGAAGCTACTGGGGCATAAAAAAGTTGCATTGGAACTCTAAAGTTAAGAGCTCAGGAATGAGATTTAACTACCAGGCCGCAAATGAATTTTCCAAGAATTATGAATTATGTCTTGTCTGGGGAGGTCTCAGCCCTCCCAAGGGTTCCTGAGGGAATCTGGGGATTGAGTAGGGGAGCCTATTTCTCCCACAGGATGAGAGGCAGAGACACTATCTCTTACCCAAACCCTCATCTGGCCACAGTTCAATCTCAGAAGTTCTTTGTGTGTCTACCTCAGAGTGATGTCTCAGAAAGAAAAAATCAGTTTAGCTTAAGGTGTAAAGTCTTTATAATCTGCAGTTGTAATTATAAGTCAAGTCAGGTAGTCAGAAAACTCTCAGCATAGGAAGGAATTTTCATATCTCTTAGCTTACTCTTTTTAATAATGAGATGAAGTCATGGTATTATGAATATTTTATGTTTTGATGATTCACTGCCCCCTGGGGCTAAGGAAAAAAAAGTTTTTTTTTTATTTGCTGTTTCTAATTTCTTCTGCTGCCATCTAAACTCATATTCTCAAGCTATAGGCGAGCTACAGACAATAGTTTATTATCAATTTAAAAAATAATACCATGCATATCCTTCCATCCAAATATTTATTTCTCTCTTCATCTTTCTGACCATCCATTGGCAATGTGGTATAAAAATAAAAATGATTAAAATGAATTTACCAACGTTATCAGCTCATACCCTAACACAAGCTTGTGTTTCTAGATGGTTAGATACTAAATGAAGCACATACAGATGTGCTGTGTATACACACAACTTGCAAATGAACATGGGCCCATTGTAACAATGTCTAAGATAAATTGGGTCACGTCAAAATATAAAGTCCTGAATAAAATGAGAATTAAAAATCCTTAGAGACTTAATTGCATATTTTAAAGCTAATGATGCAAACTGATCTATGGTATGAGTAGAGACTCAGGGTTAAGAAACCAGCAGTGTGACTTTGCCCCTTATCAGTTGTATGACCTTGGACAAGTGATTTAACTTCGGTAAGCACAGGCTGTTGGTAGGAATGTTGATTGGCGTAGCCATTATAGAAAACAGTATGGAGGCTTCTAAAGAAATTAAAAACAGACCTACCACATGACCCAGTAATTCTCTTTTGGGTGTATACTCAAAGGATATGAAATTTTCACCTCACAAAGATACCTGCATACTGAAGTTCATTGTAACACTACATACAATAACCAAGATATGGAAACAACCTAAGTGTCCATCAAAGGACAAACAGATAAAGAAACTGTGGAATATATATATCAGAATATTATTCAGTATAAAAGGAGGAAATTCCTGCCATTTGCCACAATATGGACGGACCTAGAGGACATTATGCTAAGTTTAATAAGCGTAACAGAGAAAGAAAAATACTGCAAGATTCCACTTACATAAGGAATCTACAAAAAAGGGGTCAAATATACAGAAAAAAAGGGATAAAGTTGTGGTGGGAGGAAATGGGGAAATACAGGTCAAAGCATACAAAGTAGCAGATATGTAAGTTGAACAAGTCTAAAGATCTCTGTACAACTTGAGAGCAGTAGTTAATAATTGCTTAGTGTATTTTTTTCCTAAATGAATAAATTATAGCTGTTTTCCCAAGGGGAGGGAAATGGGTAACTATGTGAGATGATGGATTAATTAATTAATTTGTTTCATTATAATACATGCTTGACTACATTGTATGTAGTTCATAACATCATGGCATCTATCTTAATGTACAAAAAGATTTGTTTTAAAAATAAGCACAAGCTGTTAATGTACATAGTGGAGGTTATAATGATGACAGTCTTGTACAGTTTTTGTGCATACTAAACGAGATAATATAGTTAAACTACTGGTATGGAACAAGTGCTGAAGAGAATTATCTAGTGTTAGTATTCATTTGGATACCTTTGAATCGATGTTTGTAAAGGCAATAAAAACTCGACAAACCGTTAGATTTCTTTTAACCTTCTAGCGAGATTGTAAACTGTATTTTGTCTCCTTTCCTTCCCTTCTGCTCTTTCTCTTAAAAAACAATAAAAACAGATTATGAGGACTATGGGGATTACTGGAGAGGTGATTATGAGGCAGAGGGAGCAGATGGCTACGACTACAGCCGGAACCAGTTGATCGGAGATGTGGAACGTACCTTTGCTGAGGTAACCCGGAACTGTAGGGTGGGGCACAGGAAGGAGGAAGGATGGCCGAAGGCATTCAGGGCTGTTCTTAACACACTGGTGGGCCGCTGCCAGGCATCATAGAATTGTGGACTATTAAAGCTTGAAAAGATTTCTTAGAATAATAGGGCAGCCTCTACAGGTGATCAGAATTCAGAATTGCTCTGTGTTCTTCCACTTTGCAATCACCAATAGAAAGAGTATAAGAAGGAAAGCTTACAGGAATAAATGGTATTTTAGGTCAAAAGAAGGAATGGTTTTGGTGAGCATCCTGGGGATGGCATTGTCTTCTTTTGTTTGCAGAGCCATAGACTTTGCTTCCTTCCTCAGGACAATTGAGACTATTATTTCATTAGCTTTTGACTACAGAAGTTTTTATAAGGAAGAGAGAGTTTCATGAGTAGAGGTATCTTAAGGACACTTCTCAGTGTGTCCTTCTTCCTTCATGGTGACCTCTGCACCTCCTCTTTATCCCTGCACACTAAACTTCTGATGTGAAACTACTCCATCACAACCACGGTTGGGCAGAACTATCAAAAATGGAAGTAATGGAAACAACTTCCCCAAAAGGAAATGGGCCAAAGATTTGACTAAGTATACCATCAAAGAAACTTTACAAGTGGCAAATAAGCAAGGAAGATGTTATAGGGCAAATACAAACTAAAACTGTGATGAAAATCCAGTATACATCCACCAGAATGGCTATGGCAAAAAGACTGACCATACCAAGTGTTGGGACATGTGGATATGCTGGAGCATTCATATATACTGCTGGCAAAAATGTAAAATGGTGATCAGTATGGGGGCCTGTAATCTCAGCTCCTTGGGAGGCTGAGGCAGGAGGAATACAAGTTTGCTTCCACCCTATCCTAAAATAAAAAAAAAAAAATGTAAAGGGCTGAGGATGCAGCAGTGGTAGAGTACCCTTGGGTTTGATTCCCAGTACTGAAAAAAAGGTGAAATCATGCAGTCACTTGGGCAAACAGTTTGACAATTTCTTCAACTCTAAACTGTATGATTCAGCTATTGTACTCGTAGCTATCTACCCAAGATAAATGAAATCATGTACTCAAAGAAATATATATACACAAATGTTCAAGGCAGCATTATTCATAATAGCGCTAAACTGGAACAACCTAGTACCCGTCAACTGATGAATGGATAAACTGACTCTGATATATTCATACAGTAGAAGAGTTAGCAAAATACAATGGACTAGCGATGCCTGCTACAATATGGATAAACCTAGAAAACATTCTAAGTAAAGGAACCCAGATACAAAAGATCACATATTATATAATTCCATTTGTATGAAATGTCCAGAATGGGCAAAAGTATAGAGCTAGAAATCAGTTCAGTGATTACCTGGGGCTGGAGGTGAGTGTGTCAATGACTACAAATAGGTATACGGAAATATTGAGGATATGCAAATGTTGTAAAACTAGATGATGGTGATAGTTTCCCAGCAACTTTAGTTTATTGAAATTTATGAATCTGTACACTTATAGATGAATGAACTTCGCAGTATGTAAATTATACTTCAATATAAAGACAAAAGGAATAGGTAACATCTTAAAAATATTGTTTTGGCCTCTGCTTTTCTTTGGGATCTGTAGTCCTCCAGTGGGACCTGTAGTAGTCCTCCAGATGTTTCTGTTGTTTTATATAGTGGTGCTTGTCATCATCCATATCTGTGGAGAAGAATAGCTTTTAACTTCTCCAGAATACTTGAGAGGAGAAGAAATAATTTAAGGAAATTCCACTTGTATAAAGAAGTTCTTATGTCTAGTGGTGGGGACTGGAAAATGGAGTTGGCCACTCTTGGTCTGAAACTTTCTTCTTGGGCCTTTAGATTAAACCATTATATGAACAACTCCATGCCTATGTGAGAGCAAAGCTGATGAATGCCTACCCTTCCCGTATCAGTCCAATTGGATGCCTCCCTGCTCATTTGCTTGGTAAGAAACCCCAGCAATCCCTTGTGTTCTTTGTCATCTTAGCTATTTCCATGAATAAAATTTTCTTTTGGAGTGAGGCCAATTATAAATTTTTTGAAAACTCCATAAATGAAGTTAGTAACATTATAGAAATCACAATTTGAAAGCACTTTGTTCAGCAGAGACTCCAGTTTAAATCATTCTCTATTACTTATTATTTTTATACAAAAGAGTTATTACATTGACTACAATCCAAAGGATAAAGGGGTTAAGATAACTAGAGAAAGAATTCCAGGTTAAAATGAGAGTGGAAATGAGTACAATAGTTTTTAGCGTTCAAGTTGGTTAACTAAGGTCTTAAGGTGGAATTTGGGATTTTAGCATCATATTCTTGAAGGAAAGAAACTTGGGGAGATGGAAGTTCTTCAGGGGTGAATGTAAGTCTTTCTAGAATTTAGATATGGTCTGCATGAAAGCTTCATGAATTCAACCTAGATTGCACCAGTAAGCCTTGCTGGTTAGGAGTCATATGACTCTTTGAAGAGGCCATCCTCCTCTCTCCCACTCCAGCAGCCAAGGCCAAATACAATAGAAATGTTTGAAAATTTCATGCCATACATCGTATTCCTTCTATAGTCATATAAGTCTTCTTTTGTTGTTGTTGTTGTTGTTGTTTTGGTACCGGGGATCGAACTCAGGACCTTGTGCTTGAGAAGCAGGCAGCAGAACCACTGAGCTAAATCCCCGGTCCATATATAAGTTTTCTGACAGGTAATTCTACAAAGCCAAACCTCATATTTGTCAGCAGAAGAGAAAATGGATAAAGGAACTATGATGACTTTTAATCCTAAAGAAATATAGAAGTCCTCTCTACATATCCTTGGAAGGCATTATTCAATAATTTAGGTTTTTCCCAATCATGTCTATTGTGATAGGGTTCTTTCTTCCCTCTAAGATGGACTAATATAATGCTCTATGGCACCAATTATAAGGAAGCTCTACCATATATAGAACTGAACCAACAGACCTCAATATTTTCCAGTCCTAACTACTAATTCCATGCTATGCAGTTACTCAGAATATGTCAATGCTTTATATATATGCAGCCATCATGGAAGACACAGTGCAGTACCTGCCACAAGGATATGTACTTAATATACTTTAGTGGCTATTATTGTAAACAGTGCATGTGCACTGTTTTTTTTTTCCAAGTTAAATATTCCACACAGAGTTTCAACCATTCCTTAAAATCTCACTTTTTCTAATTGTTATCTTTTGCATGAGCTACACTTTGTCCATGTACCCCTTCAGCTGTCATGCTCAGAACTGAATACTCGCTGTAGATGAGGTTTGACCAACAGAGAGAAAAAAGTGGTACCATGCTTGCCTTTGTTTAGACAGAATATTTTTTATCAGTTTAGCCAAAGATCATGTTTGTGTTTTAGATGCCATGTCATTCTGTCTGTTGGGTCATTTTTGGTCTTTTACTGTGAACTATGTGTCAGCCTGATATCACATATATATTTCTATGTGGGATGAGTTTTTCTTTAAAATTTAAGTATAGGACTTCACATTTTATCTTTTAAAATGAATTCATGGGAGTACTCTTCGTGTAGTTGTGTTGTCCCATTTCTTTGGTGCCAGGATTCTGCTCTTGCTATTATATTGAATTTTTCTAGATTCATCTTCCCTTTTCAGGTCTCTGGTCTTATAATCCAACTTCACATTGTTGGAGATGGTTTAAAAGTCACCCGGTTAAGTGTATCATATTTAAATTATTATTATATTTATATAAATAAGTGTATTATATTTAAATTATTATATTTATATTATATTTATAATAATAAAGTGAACTTAGTTACTAATTAGTGGAAATGTTTTCTCTTTGTCGATCCTTGACTTATGAACTCAATTTGTTCCTGAGGGTTAGTTGTAGCTCAAATTGGTCAGTTGAAGACTCAGGCTCCTCTACTCAGCCTTCAAAGTCTCTGTCCTGTACACAGGCAGATCTCAGTGTCCTTAGAGAGACATTGGCTCAGGATTTCTCAATGAACCCCACAGGAAAGGATGTTGTAATATTCCTTCCAGAACTCTTTAAGGGTTCAATCTATGTCTCAGACCATCTGAAAGCACAAGTGCCTGGCATTCAAGTCATAACTCAAGATTTTGGTTGTAAGTTAAAACTAAGATTCTGGTCATAACCCAAGTTGTTCGTATATCAAGCCGGTCATGACTTGAGCATACACTGTACTGGGAATCGAACCTAAGGGTGTCTCACTGAGCTAAAAAGATCTCTAGATCTTTTGAGTTTTTGAACTTTGAGACAGGGTCTCACTAAATCACTAAGTTGTCCAGGCTGGGCTTGAACTTGCTATCCTCTTCTGCCTTCCAGAGTGCTGAGATTACAGGTGTGCACCACCATACCTGGCTATTTAGTAGATATTTTTGAACTATGATATTATATAATTTCTTTGGAATTCAATATGGGGCATCATTAACAGTTTAATTTGTAGTATTTTGTCCCATGAATGGTGATTTATATGAATAAATATTTATCTGTAGTAGCTATGATGTTCCATATATTAAATAAATTGTGCCCTTGAATAAGTGATTCAAAGTAGAAGACATTCGGGTTATTCCCTACCAAGCTATGCCTAACCAGATAATCTACTACCATTTCAATTTTTTAGAGGAGGAAGAAGGAAATTTGGCAATTTAAAATAAGAGAAAGCAAAAAGGGTAAAAAGGTAGCAAAAGTGAAGCCCAGAAATTAGACTGCTTAGAAATACTGTATGGTTTGGGTACCAATCCAATTTCATGCAATATATAAAGTCAGGTCTATATTTCTGCTGCTTTGTCATTATATTAATGCATTCTTTTTAAATATAGGTGATATGTGGGGTAGATTTTGGACAAATCTATACCCTTTGACAGTTCCCTTTGGACAGAAACCAAACATAGATGTTACTGATGCGATGGTGAGCCAGGTAGGAAGAAGAAGCCTTAAAAACAATCTAAATTTTAAACTTCATTTTTTTTTTTTTTTTGGTACTGGGGATCAAACTCGGGACCTTGCGCTTGCGAGGCAGGTGCTGGAACCACTGAGCTAAATCCCCAGCCCTAAACTTCATTTATTTTATGCCACCCTTCTGTTCTTATCTTTTATATGTGAAACTATGCAAATTAAAAATTCAAGATAATTTAAAGTTATTTCTTATGCACCTAAGTTTGAAAAGTAATTTACAATGCCAGTAACCTCATATACCTTGAATAACAAGTATGGTACTGATTTTGTTGAGAGGTTTTAAACATAGAGAAGATCTGAGTTTTCCTTTAAGCAATAAGATGTGGAATTAGCAACTGGTTGGCAGTACACTTTCCAAAGTTGTCATTGCTAAGTAATTATTCAATGAATAGTAAAAAACCAAGAATATCATTAGAAGATTTTTTCACGTTAAAAAATCATTATTGTTAAAACTATTACAAGAATCTTTTAAATCACCCTTTTCTTGCTGTCTTGATATAATTATGTAAATCCTATGTGTTCCTTTCTATTGATCAAATCATATTAAAATTTTAGTCATGTATTTGTCTTTACTTACTTAAATTTTACATTTCTTTCTTTCTTTTCCTTTTTTTTTTGGTAGCAGGGATTGAACTCAGGACTTTGCACTTGCAAGGCAGGCATGGTGCCGCTGAGCTAAAACCCCAGCCTTTAAATTTTACATTTCTGTGAAGAATCAACAGTCATAATTTTATTTGCTTATAAAATTTCTTCACATGGTCATACACTAATTCTCTGTCTATTTATTGCTGAACCTTTTCTAGTTAATAGTTTTAAATCTGTAGCTAGCAATGTAGTGAATATCTTCACATATACTTGTGGGGAAAGTCCGTAACAGAATAAAAACTTGAATCAGCAAGGTGCTCTAAACTCTTGCAGCTTTTCTAGCAGTATTTTGTAAAGTTATAGCAATCAAAAGAGCATAGTTTTGGCATGAAAATAGACATGTAGAGTAATGAAATAGAGTAGAGAGCTTAGAAGTAAACCTGTACATCTACAGCCAACTGATTTTTGACAAAAGTACTAAGAACATGCATTGGAAAAGGCAGTCTTCTCAATAAACTGTTCTGCAAAAATTGGATATCCACGTGTGGAGGAATGAAACTAGACTTCTTTCTCACCAGTTCTAAGTATCAACTCAAAGTGGATTAAAGTCTTAAATGTGAGGCCTGAAGCTATGAAATTACTAGAAGAAAACATAGGAAAAATGCTTCAGGACCCTGGAATAGACAAATATATTTGGACAAGGGTCCAAGAGTGTAGGAAACAAAAGCAAAATAATTGACAAATTGTGTTACATCAAACTAGAAAGCTTTTGTATAGCAAAGAAAACAACAGAGTGAAGAGAAAACCCACAGAATGGGAGAGAATATTTGGAAACTATACATCTGACAATGGGTTGATATCTAGAATATATAAGGAACTCCAAAAACTCAATAGCAGAAAGAAAACCACCCAAATAACCTGATTGAAAATGGGCAATAGATCTAAATAGACATTTCTTTTTTTGTTGTTTTAAATTCTTTTATTGGTACATTGTAGGTATACAACACAATTACACTTCTCATTGGGACTTGTACCTTTATATACTGCATCTTGGTTCTTATTTTTTCCCCATTCCTAGCCCTCCCTTCACGCCCTCCACCCTTCCCTATTTACAAACACTTTATTTCCATTTTTTCCATTTCTCATCAATTTTTCCTTTCCCTTCTTTCCTTTCTCCTGTGCCTCCCACTACCCCTACCCCTTTGGACCTTTTATTCCTATTTTACATCATCGATTATTCATTCTAAATAGACATTTCTCAAAAGAAGACATACAAGTAGGCACCAAGTATGGGAAAAACACTCAACATCACTAATCATCAGCACATTGAGCTATCACCTGGTTTCAATAAGAAAGGCTACTATAGGGCCGGGGATGTAGCTCAGTGGTGCTGCTGCCTGCCTTGCAAGCGCAAGGTCCTGAGTTTGATCCCCGGTACCAAAAAAAACAAAACAAAAAAAAAGAATGGCTATTATAAAAAACTCCAAAGACCCCAAAGATACCAAGTGCTGGTGAGGATGTGGAGCAAAGGGAACCCTTGCACACTGCTATTTGGAATGAAAATTAGTATAGTCATTACAGAAAGGAGTATGATACTCCCTTAAAATATTAGAAATAACAGCTACCATGTGGTCCAGCAATCTCACCATTGGGTATATACCCAAAGACAATGAAATAAGCATGTTGAAGAGACATGTGCATTTCCTTGTTTATTGCAGCACTATTTATAATAACCAAAAAATGGAAACAACCTAAATTTCCACCACCTGATGGCTGGATAAAGAAAATGTGGCACATGAACACAATGGAATACTATTAATCTGTAAAAGGAATGCATTTGGGGTATTTGCAACAACATACATGGAACTGGAGATCATTATATTAAGAAAAATAAGTCAGGCATAGAAAGACAAGTACCACATGCTCTCACTTGTATGTGAAAGCTAAAAAAGTTGATCTCTTAGGAACTGAGACTAGAATTATGGTTACCAGAGGCTGGAGAGAGGATAAGAGAGGGAGATGAGAACTAAGTTATAGTTAGATTGGAGTAAGAAGTTCTGGTGTGCTATTGTATGACAGAGTGGCTGTAGATAACAATAATGTACTGTATATTTCAAAAAACTATATGAAAAGACTGAATATTTTCACCATAACACAATAGTGTTTGAGGAGATAGCTATGTTTACCCTGATGCGAACATTATATAATGTTGTACTGAAACATCACGTGGCACCCCCAGAAATTTGTATACTTTTTATGTGTCAGTTAAAGACTAATTTAAATTAAGAGAAAGAATATCATACTCATTGATACAACTGCCTGACATTAACTTTTTAAAGGTTAATAACAAAAAAACTCAGAGTCTCCCGTTCTAGTTTTTATTCCCAGGGTTGACATAGGAGATAAACTAAAATTGACTGATGTTCAAGTTTTCTTTGTTACTAAAAATGATTCATGAACTACCTGCCAATTACACAAACTTCGCTTGCCTTATGTGGGCCTTATTTCCTAAGCAAGCTTGCTCATCGCCTGTGATGTTAGTTTCATGAAGACTTTGCTAGGTGGGAGATGCCGATGGCCAAAATAGTCTGAAAGTTCAGACTCCATACACATCACGAAGCCAAGGGGCAATTTTCCATAGTCTTTTAGGCCACATCTGGGCCATTTTTATTCAAAAAGCCCATGCTTTCATGTCTACCTTATTGTCGGTGTCTTCTACCACTCCTAATATAAGGCCGTGACCGCTGGAGGAACTCAAGCAATGATGGTAGGTTTGAGTTGAATGGTATTTAACAAACAGGAGGTCACTGTGTTTTATGTTTGTACTTAGAATATAAATAATAAAGACAAAAAATATCACACATAATCTTGCCAGCCTACTGTTAATATTTTCATGTACAGTAGTACTTCCCCATTAAGATGAATACCATATGAGTGGTTTATATATTTTACTTTTTCATTTACTATTACACTGTATTTTATAAAACCAATGAAAGTTATTTAAATATAATCTGGGCAGCTGCATAATTTCCATTCTTCAAAGAGATCATTATTTAACCATCCTGGTGGTTATTTCCAGTTTTTCCCTATTAAAAATCATGTTCAGTGTAATTCTTTGACCTAGTTTCTTATAATTTCCTAGATTAGTTCTCCAGAGACAGGATTACTAGGACAAAGAGTGTAAACATTTAAAAAGCTCCCCATACATGTTGTCAAATTGCTATTTGGAAAGATTATGCTGATGTGTGTATCTAGTAGAAAGAATGCTGTTATTTTAATGCTATAATTAAATGCTGTTCTCCTCCCCACCCCCTACCATGCAGTCCTGGGATGCAGAGAAGATATTCAAGGAAGCTGAGAAGTTCTTTGTGTCTGTTAGCCTTCCTCATATGACTCAAGGATTCTGGCAAAACTCCATGCTAACTGAGCCAGGAGATGGCCGGAAAGTGGTCTGCCATCCCACAGCTTGGGACCTGGGGAAGGATGACTTCAGGTAGTTAAGCTGATACTTACAGAACAGATATTATATGGGAGACAGTGAAGCCAAGGAGTCCTCTGCTTCTCTGAGCACAGAAAGGTTGAGCTAACTCTCCCTGAACTGAGGCTGGGAGTATGTAAAAGCATATCTGGGTTTTCCTGGGGATAGAATATTAACAGAAGGCCCTAACCTGAACCTTTAGATAATTTGCCTCATTTTGAAATATTATATGCCCATTAGAGTTGCATGGTTTTGGGGATGGTGGTGCCCCTATTATGAAATCTTTGGTGCAGAGAATTATGGAACATGGGATGACTCAGACATTAATCTCCTCGGTGTTCCTTTCTTGTGAGTGAGATGGCATAAGTAAATACAAAGCTGGATAAAAGGGAGAAAGTGGTGCATGTCATAAGCAAGACACAGAATGCTTTATGGGATACTGGGATAAAATTGACTACACCTGCAATAGGAGATAGGACCAGACAGGGCCTTGTGTGTGGCACTGGAATTTGGCTTAAAATGCAAAAAGGTTTTGGAAAGGCAACTGGGAAGACATCAGGCTGGAAGAACAACAGGATCAGATGTAGAGAGGCAGGATGTGGTGGATATACTGGAGTCAGCAAGTTAAACTAGGCTAATAAATATGTGAAAGAAAGTCTGTGTGATGTGGCAGAATGAGAAAAACCTTTGGAATCCTAGGTGTGTCATTTAATGGCTAGGCAACCTTGGACAAAGTCTTTGACTTTCTTGGGTTTCAATTTCCTTCTCTATGAAGCAGAGAAGTAATTCCCGGGCATCTTGGATTGGGTTTGTAGGCATCTCAGGTTGAGTTTCCTAGATTGAAATGGAGATTTTTGCATAAGGGCTTTGTTGGGGGGAGAGCTCTCAGGCAAAGGGGAATAAGGTGAACAGGCTGGGACTGGGAAAAGAGGTAAGTAAGGGCATGGCCTGTGCCAGAGACTTGGCTTCAGTCTGATCCCATGAGCCCCTGGAGCCTGGTTTGAACCAGAGTTGGTCACACTTGAAGATAAGGGGGCTGGCCTTTCACAGCCTCTATTGGTCATTGCCTCTGGATTCCCCAGAGTATGGGGAGACAATCTCCTGGTTGAGGTACTTTCCATTTGGCCAAAGCATTGAAGAAGAAAGCAGCTGTTGGCCCTTGTTAGCTATGACTTGGGCAGCTGCGGGGAGGGCTGCTACATCTGCCTGGTAAAGGAGATCTGAGCAGAGCCCCATCGGCACCCAGTAGGGACTGGCAGTCTGTTTCTGCACAGAGCCAGAGAGTAAAGAGCGTAGGCTTTGAAAGTCTCCATTGCAACTACTACTCAAACTCATGAAAGCATCCATAGACAATCCATAAATAAATGGGCCTGGCTGTGTTCCAATTAAATTTTATTTATAAAAACAGCAGTCCATAGTTTACTAACCCCAGTACTAGAAACAAGCTTAAGAAGGAGAAATATATGGAAGGTCCCATGTGTAGAATCTTTCATACAGTAAGTAGTAAATGTATAATGATTTTTATAATGGTTTCAAAAGGCAATAGAGAGAAACCAAGTTAGAAAGGCAAGTTCATGTCACATTACGGTGTACATAGGAGGCTGAGTCTATTCTTAAGCAGTGAAGTGTCCTTAAAGTGTATTTATAGGGAGTGACATAATCAGGGTGATAGGAAAGTTAATTGGGGAATCTACTGATATATGACCCATATACCCACTTGAATGAAAATGTTCATGCCAAGTTGCAGAACCACCTAATTGCAAAATGTAGTACTTATTTCATTGGGCCACAGCAGCAGTAGACAGTATTTACCAGTTGTCTTTCAAATGCCATTTTTCATTGACTTCTGCATCATCATCCTCTTTCAGACTCCTTTGACCTCTCTGATTGCAATTTCTCCATTTCCCCAGAGTCATTTTCCATTTCCCAATACTCAGGTACTGGGACTTCCTAAAGCTTTGTCTTTGGATCTTTCTTGGCATTCTATTACTGCTTCGTGGACCATCAAAGCCACTCTTTAACTTACCCGCCAATGATTCCCAATTCTCCATTTCCAGCCCCTTATGCTATGTATCTATTCTAGCTCTATTGAACTGCTTGCAGTGTCCACAAAGTCTTATTTTTCCTCAAGCCTTTATCACTGAGAACTTCCAGGAATGTCAACCTCCCAGCCGGTTACCTGGCAAACTCTCCTACAGCAGTCAAGACCCAGATTGCTTACTGCATCTTCAGTTATGCCCTTCTTAGTGCTTCTAGGAGAGAGTGTATGAATATAGGAGATGTGTGAATATAGATTCACTCATTATTATACCCATGACCATGTCTACTGCTCACTTATAGGGTATCTGCCTCAGAGTTTGTGTAGCACAGGTCTCTGGTTATTTCTTTTCCTATTAGCATGGGAGCAAGAGAATAGGATTCAGCCTTGCCCATCACTTTAGATTGAGCAATAGTACATAAAGATAGAAGAGATAGGCACTCAAGAGTCAATGATGAGTAAGTCTTGGAAAGGAGTTCATGATACCAAAACCTCATGCAACTGTGCTATCACAATGAAATGAAATTCAGTGAGATTCATTTTAGTCTTGCTCATTTTTGTACAGAATCAAGATGTGCACAAAGGTGACAATGGACCACTTCTTGACAGCTCACCACGAGATGGGACATATCCAATATGACATGGCATATGCCATTCAACCTTTCCTGCTAAGAAATGGAGCTAATGAAGGGTTCCATGAAGCTGTTGGGGAAATCATGTCACTTTCTGCAGCTACACCTAAGCATCTGAAGTCCATTGGTCTCCTACCACCGGATTTTCATGAAGATAGTGGTAGATTTATTTTTTCACGACTCGTTTTGGGTATTCATTAATATGGTGTGGGAAAAATTATGTATTACTAGGTGTAGGAAATATTTACTTTTCCTCACATAAGAGTATCTAGGAATTGCTACTGGTAAAAAATGCTTTGAAAGTATATATCAGAATATGCCAATTTGTGATTTTGTACTTTTGAACAAGCAATAAGAGAGGGAACCAAATGAATGCTCTTGAGACGCTAATAAATATCAAATAGAAGCTTGATTGATTCTTTTCAAGATGCTGAAATAGTCCCACAGAGCTGAAATGTCCTGCCCAAGATCATCTAGCTAATTTGTATCAGACTTCTCAATAGATGTTTCTGGTTCTAGGTAAGAACTTCCCCAGAGGTTAGAGCTAGCACAGATTCTAAACAGTGTTTTACAAAGGAGGAAACAAAAAAAAGAGATAGAAAGTAGCTCAATACCAGAAAGTAACATGAGGGAGGGCAGGATGGGGGAGGGGAGTAAAACTGCTCAAGATGGGATATGTATATGTACCAATTCCCCAAAAGGAATATAATTATTATGTATAGCAAACACACACTAATTAAAAAGTAACAGTGGCAGATCAAGAACCAAAGCCCTAATCTAAAGCCTTTCCCATAGTGTTATGCAAAGCAAAGTAGAGCTTGAAATTTGGGAGTGAAATAATATCGAATAGGTGAAATAATATCGAAATCGCGAGGGACCGAAACATTTCATTCAACTAGTGGAAGCATACATTTCCCCAGTAGCATCCCTTCAGACCCCTGCTATCCTTCAATTTTGCCCAAGGCAGCCTATTTCTCCTTGGATGGCTTGAATTTGCTGAAACAAGGCAAATGTTTAGGAGATCCAGATTCTTCAGTGAAGAAATCACATTTTGACTTTTTCCTTGTAAAAGAAGGACGATTAGAGCCTAATAGTGTCTCCTCTTCCACGTACATCTCTTCCTTTATTTGAGCTATTTGCCATGTAATGATCAGTTCCACTGGCTGGAGCATCTGGTCAATGAGTTCAAGGTCATGAACTTCATCCTTGTGTGGGTGGCAATTCATTTTGCCTCCATCTCTGGCTCCAGACCCTTGGTGATCTCACGATGGCCTGGGAGCAGGCCAGTGTAAAGCCATCAGCAAGTCTGAAATAGTTATTGTAAGCACAAATCCAGTGGATTATACATTAGTAGTGGTGTCCTCCCAGGAGAAGAGCAACAAAGGAAAGGGAGTTAGTAGCAAACACATCTACTTCCTAATTTTAATATATAATTCATTCAAGCTAGAACACTTATTTGTTTTATCATTATTAATACTCCTTGATAGCTGGCAAAGATTATGGATTCACTGTATTTCTTAAGATAATATTAGATACAGTCAAACTACTGGTTTGAAAACTCTTGCTCCTTTCCTTGCCTCTGATTCATGAATGAAGTTAAACAAATAGATTCCTTCCTTTCTTCTTCCCTCCCTCCCTCTCTTCCTTCCTTCCATCTTTTTCTTCTTTTCTTTTTCTACACATATTTATTGAGCACATACCATGGATAAGACATTACTACCGACACTAGAGATGCAGTGATGTACAGAGTGGCTAGCATTCTCCTCTTGACATTTCTCTGAGCTTCCTTTGTACACTAGAAGTAAACTCTGCTGGCCTTTTATGTCACTAATAAAGGATAAAATGAAATTATATGACTTGTGAAAGCACTTAAAATTCACAGCAAGGAAGATTATCAGTGCAATTAAAGTACATTTCACCTTTGGTTATCCACTGGATGGTGCCCTCTATGGGTGGCTCTTTTATTTATTTATATTTTTAGTTAAATTTATTTTTAGCTGGCCTATAAAAATACAAAATTGTAAGCATTAATGGGCTACACGTGATGTTTCAATACACGTATGCACTGTATAATGTTTCAACCAAAGTAAACACATCTCTTCAAACGTTTATCATTTCTTCATGATGAAACCTTTCAAGTTATTTTCTTCTAGCTTTTTATTTTTTCAGTGCTAAGTATGGAACCCAGTACCACATGCATGCTAGGCCAGTGCCCTACCCCTGACTTCCTCAGCCATTTTCTAGTTTTTTGAAATGTCAATAATACTGCTATCTATAGTCAACCTACTGTGCAATTGCACCATATTTTTTATTTCTCCCATCCCTGTTTTACCAGCTTTTCACTACATCTGTTTAATATTTGCTTATTTACCAAGGACTCACAGGAGGCATTATGCAGCAGACACTGGACAAGGTAGACAGTTTTGAATGACACATTAACAGTCACTGCCTTCATGGAGCTTTCAAGAATAAACAGTATGCCTGGAAAAGAGATGACATAGTGCAAATTAGCTCTGATAAGGGATGTTTAAGCAAAGCAATCGAAACCAACAAAAAATAGGATTAGGGTTAACTTGCAGGATTGTTTTGTTCCAGGATTTCACCCTATGCCAAATCTCTTACTGAGAAAAAAAAATATATATATATACACACACACATTAACATGCCTGTTGTCAATATTTCTCATGTAATCATCCTTACAATAAGTACATCTTGACACTATGAAAGTTATTTTTAACATAAAACATCTACTGTCATGTTCATCTTAATAGCTGTCCTTTTACCATTTTACTTTCAGAAACAGAAATAAACTTCCTACTCAAACAAGCACTCACGATTGTTGGAACTCTGCCCTTCACTTACATGTTAGAGAAGTGGAGGTGGATGGTCTTCCGCGGTGAAATTCCCAAAGAGCAGTGGATGAAAAAGTGGTGGGAGATGAAGTAAGTCAATGAAAATGCAATCGGTAAAATATTTTCTCATGAATTTGCTGTTTATTTAAAAGCATTTGACTGGCCTGTACACACACACACACACACACACACACACACACACACACACGAACGTACACACTTAACTGCTTCCTTTTGATATTTTTAGTTTCCATTCGGGTGCCATCTCCACAAATAAAATTTCCTTTGTGCTGCCCCTTATCTTGAGTCAAGTGACAGTATTTCATGCTTAATCACAGGTGTTGAGTCACTTATTAAACTATGATATTATTTAGGAGTTGATCAATTTACTCACTTTTATGTATTCTTTTAAGTAAAAATAATGATCTCCCATTTTGGGCAAAGAACTGGGGATCCAATACTAATCATTTCAGCTGTGATTCTTGACTCCCTCAAACGTCTAGTCAAATAAAAGGCAGAATGTTGAAGACAAAACTACTGCAGTGTGTGATGTGAAGGAATGCTACAGGGGCCAATGAGTGTCTAAGGGGAGATCCAAAGCCCAGCCTTCAGGGTCAGATGAAAAGAGACTTCCAAACTGAGTCCTGAGAAAGGGATGGAAATTAACCAGTGTGTATGGAGGGGAAGAGAGACTTTCTGAGTAGGCAGAAACTGGCACATTTAGGGAGCAGATAGTGACCCATTGCAATAGTTGTAGTACTACATTGCTTATCACTGTATCCCAGGTGCCCTGCACCCACACCATGTCAGCCACATACGGGTGTGAAATAAATGGGATTTGGATGAATAATTAGGAGAGGGAGAGAGAGAGAGAGAGAGAGAGAGAGAGAGAGAGAGAGAGAGAGAGAGAGAGAGAAAGTATTTTCTCCACCACATATTAGTCAGTCTCTCAATTATTTTTTCTTTGTTTTTCCTATTTTTCTTTTTGGAAGTGATGATCTCATGTGTAACATTCAATCCCACATCTCTAAGTTTAAATCAGTACCACTCTTCCTCTAAGATTTTTCTGTGTTAACATAAATCTTACTTGGGAAGAAGGAGGCAGCTGTAATATGTCTGTTTCTAGAGTTTGAATATTGCTGAAATTGTTTATACTAATCCCACAATGATAAAGGACAAATGCATTTATTTTAAACAGTGCCAAGTGTTTGCTTTTCTATCTTTTTTTCTGGATGACTAATTTTTTGATCATTCTTAGTTTATTTTCAAGGTATTTGAGTCAGACATTGAAAGTAACTCATTCATACATGAATGTTTCCTTCAGTCATTCAACAAATAGAAATGAAGTCTTTCCTTAATGTTAGGCACCGTGTTTACTACTGAAACTAAACATGACAAAGACACAACCTCACACTCTAGGAGCTCAAGTTCTCTAAGGCAAGAAAGAGTTGTATGTGAATAGGTACAACTAGGGGAGACAGCTAGAAAAAGCTAAGAGAGGTTGAGGGTTAGAAGGTGGGTGATGTCAGGGGCAAGCTTCAAGACGACGGGATGTTTGAGCTAACTTTGAAGAATAAGTAAGCTTACAATTTTACAGAATTACATCTTCCAGGAGCACATGAAGTATGGTGCCTGAGAGGGAATTACAATGGCTTTCACTGTACGTGTTTGACCGCACAATATACTTCATGAATTTTATTAAATAATTTAAAAAAGATATATGTTTTCCAATGGTATATTTTGGTTGAACTCAAACAATAAGACATAATCACACAAAGAGTGTACCTTATGATTTGTTACTGCTCTTCATTTGACAACCAGTTCCAATATAAATACTATTGTTTGGTGAAACTGCGTTGGTTGTGCCCAACTCTACCTTCTTGTGATGGTCGATCCACAACTAACACATCTTCTTTTTCTTTCCACAGACGAGAGATAGTTGGTGTGGTGGAGCCAGTGCCTCATGATGAGACATACTGTGACCCTGCATCTCTGTTCCACGTTTCTAATGATTACTCATTCATCCGGTAAATGACAGTTTTCTTCTCTCTGTTCAACTTGTAAGGTTTGTGGACAGCTGTGCTAATAATGAAGAAATGACGCTCAATAAAGTAATAATTATAATTTTTAAAATCTCCACTTCTTACGCCAAATTCAGTGTAGATGATCAATTTCAATTCAGTTTAACCAAACAGTCATTGGTTTAAATGCTGGTGAGCACGTTCTCCATCATCAAGGAATCAATAGTATCATCAGGAGAAACAAAAAGTATTTTTGTTTGTCTTCTTGTTACTGCCAGATTTCACCATGTATTTGATGAGGATTTTTAACCTGAAGTCTAAAAACATGTTTTTTTACCTATTAGATCTTGAATTTGTTGGGCCTCAGTTTTTCTATTTGTAAAATGGAAATAATATTACCAACCTGCCATATAAACTGATTGGCATCATTTGTATGAAAGGGCTATAAATCTATAAAATAATACAAAGGTGAGCTAACATTTAACAGAGTAATTATACTGCCTTGTTTATCAGCTGGTACATAAAATGCAAGTAGATTGTAATGAGTCTGTAGAATTCATGATTGGGTCTTTCTGGGAAGAGATTTGACTAGTATTTATTTCTTTGGTTACCTGAGCCCCATAATTTAAATATTTGCCCCAGTCAATGACTCTACCACAGTAACTAAATGCGGGGCTACTTTTTTGTTTCTTTGTCTTTTGTACAGGTATTACACAAGGACCATCTACCAATTCCAGTTTCAGGAAGCCCTTTGTCAAGCAGCTAAACATGTAGGCCCCCTGCACAAATGTGATATCTCAAATTCCACTGAAGCTGGGCAGAAGTTGCTGTAAGAGATGCCTTAAAATGTTGATCTTTCCCTAGTATCCAATGTTACTTTTTTCCATGCCTAGTTTTGAATTTGGTTTCTTTTGGGGACTTCAAAAACTTTCTCATTCACAAAGTAAAGAGCTTGTGGTCAGACAAAAACCTAGACCATGAGATGGCTGGGCGGGCCACCGCCTCTCTCTGTGTCATAACTACAGAGCTCTCTTTGTAGTAATTAGAAAATGAGATTGAAGGATTCATTAATGTACCTCATTTTCATATCCGCCAGGAGCAAATTTAGCCAAGTCAAGGAAAGTATAGATCATAGACATAAATATATGTATATCTGGATTCTCCTAAAGGGCCTGATCCTTTCTTTTTTTCGTGTAGCAATATGCTGAGACTTGGAAAATCAGAACCCTGGACCTTAGCATTGGAAAATGTTGTAGGAGCAAAGAATATGGATGTAAGACCACTGCTTAACTATTTTGAGCCCTTGTTTACCTGGCTGAAAGACCAGAATAGGAATTCTTTTGTGGGGTGGAGCACCGAGTGGAGTCCATGTGAGTACGCAGAGTCCATGTTTTCCATCACTCCTTGTTTTCTTTCCCCAGGCTTAGGGGGGCTGTGAACTGGGTGAGTACATGTTCCTTCCATGTAGGACCTGTTTCTGACTCCACTTCACACTCTTCCAAGTGTTTTATTAGTCTCATGTTTAAAATAAAAGAGTGTAACAGCCTCCAGTCTACTACACTTGGATATTGCTCTTCGAAGACCAATAATGAAAATGTAAGGCTATTATCTCTTCTTTTGGAAGTTACTTTCATATTTCTAAATACTGTGTTTATATTGCTGTTTTCCTACCGGTCAATTTTAGACTTTTGTACTTTTGTCTATTCTTCTCTCTCCCAGTAAAGCCTTACCATGATTTTTAGTAAAGTAGTTATCAGTGTTTACATCACTCTGCTTGCAGGGTCAAGCCTCTCTTATGTAGCTTGTTTGCCCCAGTGTTTTTACTTGCCTCAGTATTTTGGTCATATCCAATTTGCTATCTATTTGCATTTATTTTTCCCCAATTATTCCAGCATATCCCTTTCAGTCTCATTTTCCCCCAGAAACTTCCCTCTTGGACTCTTACACCCTTCTGTCCCAATTTGGATTACGATTTTCCTCCTGAGCTATGTCTTTGTTCTCCTCCTGGGCTGAATCCACTCTTTGCTGGATTCCAGGTCTTCCTCCTTGGATTATCTCTTGTTTTCCGGAACACAGTCTCTGAATGACTGCGCAAAGGTCCATTGGGTGGGAGGATCAACTGTTCCCCAGAGATGCTCTCACCACATCTTGTTGCTCCTTCCCCTGTTTTCACCCCCAGTAACTTCTTCCCCTCCTTAGCATTACCTGAATCCTAAGCTTCTCTGGGATTCTCTGCTTCGTTTTGAGTCTGTCTGTACTCCCTCAAACCAAGGTTTCCTGTCCCCGCAGAAAGCAGTTACCCCTTTCATCATTTTTTGTTTTCCAAAGGTATGTACCTTTTCAAAATTCCTTTACTATCACTTTAGTGAGGAGGGGAAGGAAATAAACACATAAGGTCCATCTGACCCCTGAAACCAACAGTCTGTGATTTCTCTCTAATCAGATTCTAAAGAAAGCATCAAGGTGAGGATAAGCCTCAAATTGGCTCTTGGAGATAACGCAGTGAGTATCCTGGATGGAGCACCCATTATTTCCTGGTCTACTCTCCTCCCTTAAATAGGACACAATACATCCATTCTGGTGTGATCTGTCTAAAAAAAGAGAGGCCACATGGTTCTCTTCAAAACTCTAAGCCCCAGATTCTGGCCTTCAGCATTTTGAGGTTTTGGTAGTCCATTCTTTATTGGATAGGCAATGCCTATTTTTTTAACTTATTACTTTGAAGGGATTATGTAGATCAGTGTAAACATATCTGTACCAATCCTTAAATATCAAATATCCAATCTTCCAATTCTCTCATCACCGTTACTTGTAGTGGAGAAAAAGGACATGATATTTTGAGAGGTTTGTTTTTAGAAGCAGTATGTGTAGGAGTCATTTGTTTATTTTAGTAGATCTGTTCTATTGTGGCTTTATTTAGAGTGTGGTCCACCGACCAGCAGCATTCGAACCACTGACTTACAAATGCATAATAGGGTAGCAAATTGTTTTACTGAAGAATCTTATTACACCTTTATGTGAATTAATTTAATCAGTGATTGCTCTCTCTTGACCCCTTCTCAGGTGACCCAGTCTGAGGAAGTATAGTAGCAGCTTTGATCGGAAAAGGGAGAGGACAGGTAGTCCCAGGCAAATAGAGATAAAAGGCCTGAGTCGGGTGTGGTAACCCCAAGGCTTTGCAGGTTTAGAAGTCAACCTGGGACCATCAGATAAAACAGTCCAAGGTGCAGTAGAAAACTGTTGTCTCATTCTGTAGATCCAAAGAATGTGTTCTACTCCCTTACTTTTCCTCAAAAGTTAAATATTATTCAAGACTTAAAAAAAAACCCATTTAGTACAACTTTCATAGATAAATAAGACGTCAAAATATAAATGGCACAGGACTAAGGAAATGAAAAGATCAAGTCAGGATCTTTCCCGATTATCTTTTTCTCCCTTGACATTTGTGCTGAGGTTCTCTTTTCATGCAGCTAGGGATTGGTAAATAGTCTTCAGAGGGCTTGATGGTGGAACAGTCTAAGGCTGATTCACTAAGCAACACTGCTTTGATAAGCCCAGACCTGGACTTTTAGCACATGTTCTCATCTGGGCCAGAATATCTGCCCAGTTCAAGCTATTTCATGGTGAACATCAACTGGGTATATGGCATTGTTTTGAGAACTCAACCTTTAAAAAGTTTTAAAACCTGAAAATAGTATAAAGAATATTAGTAGCAATATTAATGATATTATTATTACTATGGAGGTTAACTTCCTCCTCCCCAAGCCTGAGTAAAACTAAGCTGAGGTGAGTGTAACAAATCCTTTACAAAATCCTATTACATACTTTTATTTTTTTCATGAAAGGGAAAGGAGAAGCAAATCAGGTGCCATTCATTGATCTCTACCGCCAGCTGCTGGAGGAAAGAGTGAATGCTTTTCTACTCTTAGAGTTTTTTTTTTTTAATTTTTTCATTTTTATTTTAATGCAATACAAGTAGATATTAATAAAGAAACTATAAAGCCATTCTATGAAAAAAATAACTTTTCATAAAAATAATTGGAGAATAATACTGGTGAATACACTGTGTATCATGATCTTAAAAAAATATATTTTCATTTGCAAATCTGTCTCTCAACTCATTTCCTAATAATACTATATCTTTTTTGCATAAAACATTTTAATTATTAACAAAGATTCTCACTGTTGGTATAACTTTGAACAATCTTCCTATTTCATGATAGTCTTTCAAAAGCTATGCAAAGATGCAAGCCATATGTTTAGGACTAGAGAACAAGAATGGATTACTGTGTTGTTTACAACATGTTATTTTTCTTTGAATTTCAAAATTTTTTCTTTTTTACACTTATAGATGTATTTGAGAGCTTCCTATTAAAGTAAAACTTTGTCCACACAGTACAGACAGTTTAAGCAAAACCATCGTTGGGCTGACTCCCATCTGTAAACCTCGCCTGAGGGTGCTTATGCCAATTTAGATAAAACTAAAATGAAAGGACTAGCAAGCCCAATGGAATGTTAGCAATAATGTTTGAGGAATATCAGGTATTAAATATACCTCATGATCCCTACTGAACAGTGTCTTTCTTCTGAATTTGCAGTACCAATGGAATGCTAATGAAATGTACTTGTTCCGGTCATCTATTGCATTTGCCATGAGAAAGTATTTTTTAAAAGTAAAAAACGAGATGGTTCCTTTCAGGTGAGTTCATTTTCTAGGTTCTCAACATCTTCAACCAGCAATTCCTTTCCTTTAGAGTCCGAGGAGATAGTCTGCTTAATCTTTCTTCAAGTGAAATTAAGGAAAGCCTCCTAACAACTTTTGAATTTTTTTGGCATCCTGGAATTTGTGTCACTCCATTTAGAGATGGTTGTTGTTTATTTGATTTGTAGATGGCAAGAACACTGTTCTAATTATCAGTTCTCTCTTCTTTAAATGCCCTTGCCCATCTGAGCACTGAAAGACAAGGAAATAGAAATTTCTGCCTTCACTGGGCTTATATTCATGTGTGTGTGTGTGTGTGTGTGTGTGTGTGTGTGTGTGTGTGTGGTGGAGTTCAATTTTAACTAAAATGGTCAATAAAGATCTCACTAAGCAGATATATGAAGCAGGATCACTCTGATAGTTATGAGAGCACAATCTTGTCATGTCATATGTCAACAGCTACTTAAAAAAAATCTTTACCCATGAAAGAAACACATTTTTTTGCTGGATGGGGCCTGTTAGGGAGTGTAAACACGCCATCTCTGTCTGTAGTACTGGGCAAATCTGCCCATTGTATTTGTATTGGTTACCTGCCCATTGCTGGAATAAAATGCCTGACACCTACAACTTAAAGGAGAAAAGGTTTATTCTGGCTCATGGTTTCAGTCCATGATTGGCTGACTTCAAGGCAGAAACATCATGGAAGAAGGGCCTGGTGGAGGAAAGCTGCTCACCTCATGGGAGCCAGAGAGCAAGAGCCAGAGAGAAGTGCTGGGGACCAGATATACCCTTCAAAGGCAGGGCCCCAGTGACTTATTTCCTCCAACTGGGCCCTATTTCCTGATAGCCCATTCATTCAGCTCTGAACTCATCAGTCATGAGGTCAGCATCCCCATGATCCAATCACCTTCCAGAAGTGCCAACTCTGAACATGTGAGACTTCTGGAGGACATTTTAGATCTAAACTGTAACAAAGCTCATCACAATCCTGGCTCACCAATGATTCCTTACTGATTCTCTTGATCCCGGGAATATTTTTTCTATCCTTGAAAAAAATGTGAGTTTTACATCACAATTGAACAGATAGTGCTAAAATTTGATATCAAACTTTTATGTAGTTAATTTTGTGTGCTTTAGGCAGTGTGATTTTTTTTTAAAAAAAATTGTATCCTTTAAGTTTTTGCCCTGCTCTGTGTCTCTCTGTCCCTTGATCCTCTCCTAATCTTTTTGCCAGCAGGGGAAGCCTCCACTCTCTTTATTGTGTCCTGGGTGCCACAAGGATTGATGTTTCTTTTGTTTCTCCATAGGGCGGAGGATGTATGGGTGAGTGATGAGACACCAAGAATCTCCTTCATCTTCATTGTCACTGCACCTAATAATATAACTGACATCATTCCTAGGAGTGAAGTTGAAGATGCTATCAGGTAACATTTTACTTTCAAACTATATGAAGGTAAAGGGATTAACCAATGTGACAGTAGCTGATATTTAGTGTGCTTTTTCTGTATGGCACGCATTGTTCTGAGTCATTTGCATGTTTTACCTTGTTCTACAAATTTGAGTTTTAATTCCAGAAGAATCCAATGGGAAGGGAATTATCTGGCTTTGGGTTCTGCCAGTTGCAGGCCTTTAGACAAAAATTTAAATACAAGAAGTTTATTTGGAAGGCACTGGTAGGAAAATGTGGACAGGAATGAGAAGGGAAGGAAGACAATAGACCTTATCAAGCAAGTTATCACTGTTGGCAACTAGAGCTCAATCCTGTTGGGCAACCCTGGAGAAGGTAGAGTGTGCACCTGAGTAGTTCCATCAGAGGCTTGAGGGAGCTGGGATATTTATCCATCACCTCTCATCAGTCATTGGTTGGAAACTGCTTCTAGGTGACATTAATCCCCAGAATTTCTGGCCTGCAGGCAGGCCATATATTGTGGTCTGACAATGCTTTCAGGCAAGAAGTAGGTGTTGGTAAAGGCAGCCTGGCTAGCATGCAGGACAAACGTAAGTGCAGAGGAGATACGGGCAGGTGTTGCCATCATTTGCTATAGGGACGGTGAAGTAGGGTAGGGTTCATTTAACTGCCCAAAGCCTGAAACAAGTTAGGCAATAGGGTTCCTCGGACATTGAGTGGCTTCCACATTAGGTGAAGGTATTACTATGGGCAGTGAGCTTTTTAGAAGAAATAATTTAATTTGCTCTGGCTTTTTCCCACAAGACAACAGGAATGGAGAGTGGATAGACTTTGTAGGTGGTGCCCCTTGTTGAAGAAGAAGAAGAAGAAGGAGGAGGAGGAGGAGGAGGAGGAGGAGGAGGAGGAGGAGGGCGGCTTAATATACTCCTGCTAATGGGCAGTTCACTAGATGGCCCTCTTGAGCTGCATCAACGAGTCCTGTTTACCTCTGAAAGCAGATCTAAGACCTGGTGGCAGGGTGTGCCTAGAAAATCTGGCTTGCTTGGGGTGTATGAGCCAACCATGCCCAGAGACCCACTCCCTACCTCCAAAAGATTTGTATTGGTCTTAGGGAAAAAATGCTGGCTGAGATCATCATGAAGAAGCCTTGCCTTCCTGGATATGCAGCTGCAAGCTACAAGGGAATCTCAAACTTTCTGTTTCCAGTTTGACTTTAGAAATGAGCTCCTGAGGTTGTCAGCGGTTACAGGATTAATTCTGCTTTCACCTCCTGCCCTCTCTGGTGGACTGCAGCCTCTGGACCTAGGCTATTCCCGAGGATAGCAGGATGTGATGCCAGAAACTTTGGTCTTCAATTCAGAATATTTGCCATTTCACTGTTGCTGTTTTAAATAATCCTCATTCTTTCTTCCATGAAATTTAGAATGCTGGAGAAATGGCAAAGGTTCCTTTCCTGTGTTACTTCCAATGCTGCTGCCAAATACCAACCATTTTATTTGGAAAATTTTCCTACAGAGACGGGTGTAGGGTGTGAGGGCTATCTAATTATCCTTTCCCATTATTTTATATAAAGTGACTGTAGATACACGCTGACAAATGGGAAATTGCCAAATATGCTAACTTGGCCTTTAAAACACAGCAGTCAGAAATGAACAAACGCCCACCATTTGCATATTTCCACATTTGCAACTCAATTTTCCAATCAAGCTGTTGACAAACCTAATTTATCTTGCAAGGTATAAAAGGTACATAATTGTCAAAAATTCCTATCTTTATTTGGATCTGATTATCTACTTTGATTTCATTGTTATTTTAGGTGATGCATTCTTATGATAAACCTTATCAAATCTTTCTGCAAAGATATAAGAAGTAAATAACTATACACAATTTTATTTTGCCTTAAATGTCCTCTTTACTGCATTTTGCTTTTGAGAATAGTATGTCCCGGAGTCGTATCAATGACATTTTTGGCCTGGATGATAACAGTCTGGAGTTTCTGGGGATTCAGCCAACACTTGGACCTCCTTACCAGCCGCCTGTCACCATATGGCTGATTGTTTTTGGAGTTGTGATGGGATTGGTATTGGTTGGCATTGTCATCCTAATCATCACTGGGATCAGAGATCGGAGGAAGTAAGTGTTCTTTCCTAGATTTACCTATCTTAAAACAGAAAGATTTAGGGGGTACTAATTGGAAAATTTGCAATAAATGGCAGGTTAGATAGGCCAATTAGTTGGGCAAGTTTCACCTAAAAATATTCTGATGCATTCCTTAGAAATTTACCAGACGATCTCAGCACTTTACCTTCCTAGCAAGCCCACACAGTAGATATCTAGCCTGGGGTTTATTAGTGCTCTAGTAAATTTCATCCCTGCCACAGGGCATTTTCCCTGCTGCAGAGAGGCACTGCAAGCCCAGCAGGGGTGGATGGGCTTGGAGAATTGTCCTTGACGCCAAGTGTCCCTTAGTCTGGAAATGACCCCGAGACTGGGTTGGTGATGGGCTTAAACTGTCCAGTCATTCAAGAATGAGCTCTGAGGTTTGCCTCAAACTGCTGCCCTTTAGTCATCTTTATTCCTCCTTAGGGAGCTCAAACTCCGTGTCAACTTAGTTCATGGTCAGGTAATCTCTAATTTATTCTTGAGTTCAAGATCGAAGTTCATTGGAATCTCATTTCTAGTCTCTGCCAATAGATTGTTTTCTGCCTTTGAGAGAGAACTGATGTTTGTTGAGCTTATGAAATAGGTTAATAACATTTTATAGGACCCAAAAACTGTCCACACTGCAGGTTGTTTAAACATATTCTTGAGTGACTCTCTACATGTATTAATCTATTTTACTTAATTTTATCCACTATAGAGATTTTTAGTTCTCCCAAATAGCTTCATTTAAAAAAAATTAGAAATGGACTAAGAAATATAGTTGAATAGTTAAAGTTTTTTAAAATGCCAAAGGACACATAAAGAGTCTGTGTTATCCTTTGCCTCCAAGTGTCTTTACTAAAGCCAATCATAATTATCAGTTTCTCTGGCCATACTCCCCAAATTGTTATACAGATTTAATGCAATCCCAAACAAAATATCATTAGTGTACCTCACAGAACTAGAGAAAACATTCCTAAAATTCATTTGGAACCAGAAGAAACCTAGAATAGTGAAAACAATTCTGAGCAACAAAGGCAAAGCAGGGGGCATCACAATCCCTGACTTGAAATTATACTACAGAGATACTATGATAAAAACAGCATGGTACTAGCAAAAACCCAAACACCCCCCCCCCCCAAACCAGGCCTGAGGATCAATGGAACAGCTTAGAAGAGGCGGAAACAATACCAAACATACTCAGCCACCTTATTTTTGACAAAGGGGCCAAACACACTCACTGGAGGGAAGATAACCTCTTTAATAAGTGGTGCTGGAAAAATTGGCTTTCTACATCCTGAAGATTAAAACTAGACCTATATCTCTTGCCGTGCACTAAACTGAAATAAAAATGGATCAAAGATCTAAATATTAAAACAGAAACACTAAACCAGCTGGCATATAGACTAGGTAGAACTCTTGAAGACATAGGTGTAGGCAAAGACTTTATGAACAAAACCCAGACTGCACAGAAAATAGTGCAAAGAATCAACAGCTGGGATCTCATCCTATTAAAAACTCTTGCAACCACAAAAGAAATCACCAACAGAGTGAAGAGACAACTCACAGTGTGGGAAAAATTTTTTAACCAGTAGTCCCTCAGATAAATGACTAATATCTAGAACATACAAAGGATTGAACAAAATCAGACTCCCCAAACTTAAAGACCCAATCCAGAAATGGGCATCTGAAATGAACAGACACTTCTTAGATGAAGAAGTAGAAACAGCAAATAAATATATTAAAAAATGTTCAACATCACTGGTCATTTGAGAGATGCAAATTAAAACAATGCTGAGATTCCATCTCACTCCAGAAAGAATGGCTAGTATCAAGAAATCAGCCACAACAAATGCTGATGGGGCTGTGGGGAAAAAGAGCCCTTCTCCACTGTTGATGGGAGTGTAGACTGGTGTAACCACTGTGGAAATCAGTGTGGAGATTCGTCAAAAAATTAGGATTAGAGGTCCCATTTGACTCAGCTGTTCCCCTGCTGGGTATCTTCCTGAAGGGATTAAAAGCATCATACCACAATGATATATGCACACCCATGTTTATAGTCACACAGTTTGTAATAGCTAAATCTCAGAAACAACCCAAATGCCCATCAACCAATGAAAAAAGGATGTGGGTTTTTTTTATACAGTGGAGTACTATGCAGCCATAAAGAAAGATAAACTTGAGACATTTATAGCTAAATTGATGCAACTTGAGACTATACTCAAGTGAAATAAATCGGACACACATGTGTAAATATCACATTGTCTATCTGGTGTGAGAAACTGAAAGAGTAAATAGGAACCAAAATGTATAATAGATAATAGGAAATAGGAAGAAACTGTTCAAAAGGAAAGGGAAACTGTGAAGGGCAGGTGGGAAAAAGGAAGGAAAAAGAAAAAAATGACGAAAGAAGGAAAAAATGGAAACAAAGCTTTTGTAAATAAGGAGGGGAGGGGGATTGAAGGGAGGGGAGAGGATTGGGAGAAAAAGAAATCAAGATATACCATGTACAGGTACGAATTTCCTTTGATGAATGTGATTGTTATGTATATTTAAATTGTACCAATAAAATTAATTAAAAAATTATCAGTTTCTGGGAGGTACAGTGGTACCTCAGTTCACGAACTTAATTTGTTCCACGATTCTGGAAAAGATGGCCACGTTCATGTTCATGTGGGAAAGACTGCCATGGTCATGTTCCTTACCCAATGCAAAGTTCACAAACAAAACCAAAATTTTGCCAAATGCTTCTGTTCGCAAACCAAATTGTTCACAAACAAAACCATTTGTGAACTGAGACACCTCTGTATATAGCTATATATCCTTTTGTAGTACATGCAAACTATGTACAATGTTTTGCATATTTTTTCCCACTTAATACATTTTAGAGATCTTTCCATATTAGTTGTACAGTTTCCCTTTTTTTTCTGACAACGTGATTTTCCATTTTATAGATAGATTGTAATTTTGTTAACTAGTCCTCTGTTGCTGGGCTTTTAAGTTGTTTCCAAATATTTATGTCTATAAAAATGATGCAATGGCTTGTTCCCTGTGTTTCCTGGTATAGCTGCAAGGTATATCCTAGAAGTGGGAAAGCTGTCTCAAAGCCAGTGTGGCTTCTAATTTTGATAAATATTGCCAAATTGCTCTCAATAGAGGGTGAATCAGTGTATACTCATATCACCAATTTATGAAAGCTTTTTCCTCAACCCAAACCCAGTGCCATCGTACTTTCTGATCTTCATCAGTTTGGTCAGTGAAAAGTGTCCTTCCAACATCACTGTATTAAGGTGACTTTGTTTTATTTAACAGGAAAAATCGAACAAAAAGAGAAGAAAACCCTTACTCTTCTGCAGACACTGGTAAAGGAGAAAATAATATAGGATTCCAAAACAGTGAGGATATTCAGACTTCATTTTAGAAAAATCTGTCTTTTTCCTCCTGAGGTGATTGTATTATAAGTAAATGTTAATTTCATGGTATAGAAAATATACAATTATAAAGATGTCATTAAATATCAAAACTATGGCTGTGTTCAGGAAAAGTTGGCCGAAGACCATATGACTGAGGAGTGGGTATCTTTACTGTTTTTGCTTTCAGTATTTATTTCTGCCTCAGGACTTGACTTCTCTTCTGCTTCCTCATGTCTATATTAGAATAAAAAAGAGAAAGTATGTCTTTGGCCTCCCTCCCGGGCTGTCCAGAGATAGGGGAAATGCAAATGTCTGCTGAATAACTAGAGTTGGAAAGCAAAAAGGATATGTCTCTATGTCACAGGAGCAGGTGCTGGACCTTGTGTAAAATCAGTGCTGGTAAAGTGGTGGGATTGCAGGGATTGAGATGAGACCCACTGTTCACTTTTACTTAATCCAAGTGAGAAGGATGAAGGATGACATGCTTTATTTACACCAACTTGATTCAAGCTCTACAGTAATTTGCCCACAGTGATGTTTGAATGGACCATGCCTTCTTCAGGGTGGCAGGGCTAGAGAAAGAAGAAAAGAGAATCCAGAGCATGGACAGGGGACACTGCCTTTTCACTTTCAAGCTGCTTGGCCAACATTTCCCTAGCACTAGCACAGGTGCCTCCACAATCCCCCAGAACATGCCTGAAACTCGCTTTCATTATTCTCTAACTGTAGAGTGATTGGAAATTGCAACTGAATGTTCCCCCTCTGAAGTGAGAACCCGATCTCTTACATCTTTTCTATTCTCCCACGTTGTCTGAGTAGTGCTGAGCACAAAGCATACACTCAATAAACACCTATTAGATGTATACACTCCTGGGGTCTTCTGCATATCTATGTACCGGGACTTCTGTCCATTATATCTTCTCTTCACTTCTATAGAGGAAACTGTTGCCTGACTATCTGGGACCTTTGACCTCCAGATGACTTCGAATGTATCCTAAATTTTCAAATTGCTTTATTGGACAAAGCAATTGTAAAATCAGTTAAAAAAGAATTGTATTCTGAATGTATCATTGCCAAGTTAGGAACCAAACCTAGTACCCTAGAAGTGCTTTTATATTTCTCAGAGTACTTAGCCTAGTTCTGAGCACAGCATCTACTACATACCTGGAGACTGATTAAAACTACACTAAATAGATTAACATATCCAAGCTTTACCCATTAAGTCATATTATATTGTGGCCAGAATAATGGCCACAATACTGACTTTGCACTTAATAAATTCAATGTGGTAATGGTAATAGTGGATAGATTAGCTAGGTCAGGGCAGAATGACTTTCAGAATCCCCTGTAAAGTAGCCTCAAGATAATCAAATGGGGCTGGGTAACTTGAGGCTCTTCAGCATCTTTTCATTTTATCTGATACTCAGGTAGCAATAAGAGTTTTTCTGTCTTTGCCTGAGATCCATGTCCCTCCACTCAAGCTTCCTCAATACTATATGTTTCACCATCTTGCCATTCATTGGGCCCATAGCTTGGAGCAACATACAATAGCATTTTCTCCTTATTTGCATTGTTTCATTGCCAACAATGCCCAGCACAGAAATTAGGAAAACTTGCTCATTTCCTTGACTTAATCTTGTGTTTTTTTTTTAACCAGTGAAGTCCTCATTTTGCCTACCAGGTAAGGTTTGTGGTCCTTCACTAATGCAACAGCATCCTCTGAGAGGATGGAGACTCTACAAAGAAGGCAAAGGTGGGAGTTGGTAAACTATGACCCATGGGCCAAATCTTGATCATTATCTGTTTTTGCATAACCTGTGAGTTAACAATGATTTTTGTAATTTTTAATGGTTGAGGAAAGAAAATAGAGTATTATTGTAGGACATATGAAAATGATATGAAATTCAAATTTCAGTGCCTATAAGTAAAGTTTTATTGGAACCCAACCATGCCCATTCATTTTCATATTGTCTAGGGCTGCTTTCCTGCTACAAAGTACAGCTGAGTGGCTGACAGAGATGGTATGGCCTACAAAGTCTTTTACAGGGTAACTTTACTGATCCCTGGGCTAAAAGGAAGCAAGGATGAAATGAAGTTAGAAATGTGAAAGGCTCCTGTGGAGCTCAGAGACCTGAGGAACATTTGTTTATGAAATCTGAAGCTATTCTCTGACTGTTTCCTTCCTGAGGATGTAACTATTTTTATGGGGTTCAGTTGACATGATTAGGCCAGGTGCTGCTTTCTTCTTCCGTGATGTCCCTCAATGAATTATTCTCCCTCATGTGAGATCCATCCCTCCCCCATTTAGCTAAAGATGGGGCCTTCGGTCCAATCTCTCCTCCTTATACTCCCACTCTCAAGTCTATTACGTTGAAATCTTCCTCTTAATCAACTCAAGTCTATATGCTATGAATTTTGACTTTTGGATTTCACCTAGAAAATGGTTTATCTGAAGTTGCTCTCTGACTTGTCCTTTGGGAAAATTTTTATCACAAGTCTGCCTTTTTCTTCACTCCTTAGAAAGTATAAGCTGATTCTTGGTTTAAAATTATAACAGCAAATGTACATATAACCATAAAGCACAGTTGAAGCACATTTTAAAAGTCATTATGCGTGTTTTAAGATAGTACAAACATTCTTCCTTACTTGGCTCCTCCTGGCATCACTGGACTTATTTTCTGATAAACCTCTCATAGCACCTTAAATTCGTGCTTGACTTAATTTTTGGAGCCAGGCTTCTAAGCAAGGCTTTGGCTTCTTTTCATAGCAAATAATTCTGTATAATTTGAAATTTTGCAATAAGCATGTATTACTTTTGTTATAAAGCAGATTATTTTTCAAAGATCAAATATAGAAAAATAAAGGGAAGAAAGGAAACAGTTGAAGAGGGAAAGAAAGGCCAGCAGTGTGTGGTACAAGTTCTTGTTGGACAACATCTGAGAGAGCAGCAGGCCTGATGCCCCACCCCACTGGGGTTTGTGTCACTTGGACCTTCTTTTCCCTTTGGCAGGAAAGAACCTGGCACTTGGGAAATACTAAACAAATCAATGGATGAATGTATAAATGCCCTAGTGATTATTTTCAAAGTTACATTCCATTGTACATTGAAGTTCATATATCTCTGTTAAAAGTAGAAGACTATTATCAAGTATTGGTTCTCTCTGAAATGAAAGAATCATTAAATGTCAGGAAACAAATAGCAAGAGGAAACATTTAAGCTAGCTGATAGGGGAGAGAAGAAGTGGGATGAGAAAGAGTCTCTTGGGGAGGTTATTAACTTATATCTGAAAAATAGCAGTAGGACTTAATTGGGATGTCGTGTCATTATAATAGTAACCTTCACATAAACTTTCCCTCTCCCTTCTTGACATTATAAGAGAGACAATGAAATCTAAAAGATAACATCTATGGGCTCAACATCAGGCTCTGAAGAAGGGAATTTCCCAGGAACAGTTTAAAGCTAAAATGCCTTTTATAATAGCCACGAGAAGCTAAAATAGCACTTCTATATCTTTAAGATGGAAGACTGAAACAGAAACTGTAGCTGTCAAGTGAGGCAGAAGCCCCCAAGCCCCAAACTCAAGAGTTTAATATGATTAGAAAGAAACATTGTCTTCAATCCTAGAAATAAGACCACGGTTTCACTGAGTTGTGACTGATAATGATTAAGGTGAAGGTTAAGGAAAAAGGTATCAAAAATGTATGTCAGCATATTTTTTGTAATAAACTCATCAAATCTTTTATTATTATTATAATTGTTAACACATATTAATTGTTTAAATTAATGGGTTTCACTACTTATCAGAACTTAACCATGGCTATGTTACATCTTTGTCATCACAGACAGTTTTACTTTACTCTCATGTTCCCCTTAAAATGCTTGCGTTCAGCCATGGGCCAGAGTACTTTGTCTTCAATAAAAAGGGACTGTTTCAGTCTCATGTTCAGTCTCATACTTGGGAACATAGACGTCTGAGGAATTGACTGAATAATTTAAGACCATCCCACTGTACCAAATCAAGATTGCCAGAAGTCTAGTGGAGAAGCTGATAGATTCATGAAATTGCTGACTCAAAATCTGCAGAATTTTATTATGTTTTCCAAGAAATTAAATGAATGAGCTAAATTTGATGTCTTGCATCCCCATTTATTTAATAGATTTTAAATTGAACACTATGTTTCTTGACTATGTGTGACATATTTAATATATTGTGTAATAATATTATTTAACTTTAATATTATGTTTGTATGCACACTGACATAAAGAACCATTGTTCTAATCTGAATATCAGATGAGAATCGTATCATTTGGATTGCATTATGGACCATATAACACATAATGAGGTGTCCTAGGACAGTAAAGAATGCCTGCATCAGCGACATCTGGGAGCTGTGAAAAATAAAAACTCAAAGGCCAGACTCAGACCTGTTCTATCAGAATCTTGGGGGTGGGGGGCATTTTCCAGGAATCCGTGTTTTAACAAACTCCACATGCATGATTTGCATGTATCTGAAAGCTTGAGACCACTGAAATATGAATGCAAAAGTCCACATTTCTGTTTTAGATAGTATATTTAATTATCAGGATGGTGAGAATAGCAAAAAAAAAAAAAAAAGAATGAGTATCCAAAAAGGAATTTTCAATTCTGCTCAAGCCTTACACATGATATACACCCTCTCTATATTGCAATATGAAAACCTACTTCTGCTACAGGCTGAGAAGTGTTATATTAAGAGCAGTACAAACAAAATTACAAATTTGACCTAAATTTCATGGAATTTTTGTTTTCTACCTTGTTCATTTCCAGATAATATAACAAGCAACACACAGAACACTATTAAGAACTAGCTAACTTACATTGCGCCTGGCTACTTTTCCTTAAAAAGAATGAAAATGTTGGCCAATATCTATATTCATTCTCATCAGCACTCCTAATTTCTTCTTCAAGGTTTGTCTTTTTCCCGAAGTGGTTCAATGGAAGATAGGAGTTGCTGAAATGTAGGACGCTTTTCTGGAAGCTAAATAAAAGAAAAATCCAATGTTTTAGATGATGAAATTTATGATTAAAAAGAAAAAATGTAAACTATACTTTGGTCCTAAAGGTGATAACTTTTAAAACATGGGGACACTGCAGACGTTTGTGCTATAGTCAGAAACAAGGCAAGCGCACATGCTACACTCACCACGCTTCACATCACACTGAAGGTATTAACAGTGTAGTCAAAAAGTGAGAATAATTAGACCCCAAGAATTGGAGCAGAAAAAGTAACATTATCTTTATTTGCACAGGACACAATTTATACCTGGAAAACCCAAGATGATCAATGATAGAACCAACCCAAACAAAAAAGGAATTCACCAGGGGAGCAGGATATAAAATTAACATGCAAATCAATAGCTTTCACATATACTTACAATGACCAATTAGAAGATATCATGGAGGAGAAAAGTCCATTTATAATAGCAACAGCATAAAAATAAAATACTATAAAACTATACTCTCTAAAAATGAGGAAACTTTCAAAAACTGTTGAAAGGTACAAATGCACTTTTATGTATTTTAAAAAAGCATCCTTTGTTCTAGAATAGGATATTAGCATCAGAAATATCAAATTTCTCAAGTTAAAAACTAAATACAGCCTCCTCAAAAATTAAATGAGTTTGTTTCAAGCTAAACAAATTGATCCTTTAGTTTATAGATTTTTTTCAAAAATATGCAAAGTGGCGAGGAAACTATAAAGAAAGATGAGTAATGGGGAAGGGGTGTTAGGGTACATAGTATTATAAGGTCTCTATATAATTAGAAGATCTCTCTATATTATAAAGTCTCTATATAAGCAAAACACGTGGCGCTAGCACATGTATAGAGAGACTGCAGAACAGAGGAGAAACTCCTGAAATAAACTCAAATACATACGGAAACTTAGAATAATACTGGGGAGGCATTTCACTGGGGATAGATGGTCTTTCAGTAAACAGTGCTTCCAACAACTGGTTAAACATTGAAAATGATATATTTGGTGCCATACTTCGTACTGTACACCCTAACAAACACAAACTAGATCAGATACTTGAATAGAGAACAATGAAACCATGAAAGCACAAGAGAAAAATCTAGGAGAACTCCGTTATAAATTGGGTGTGGGAAAACCTAGGTAACTATGACTTAATTTTCAGAAGCAGTAAAAGCAAAATCAGGTGTATTCATCTGTATTTTTAAAAAGACTTTTATATGGCCCAAACAAAAGCTACCATCAGCCAAATTAAAATATAAGTGATAAACTGGGAGATAATATTGGGAAATATTGACAACTGATACCTACCATAAATCAAATCTTAATATTCTTAATTTATAAAGAGATCCTTAAAACTTGATAAGAAAAAAGGGAGTGATGGTTCTAAGAAAGGTACACAAATGACCCTTAAAATAGGGAAAGAGGCTCAGTTTCACTCATAATGAAGAGAAACATTAAAGTTGCAATAAATTGCCATTTTTATCTACCAAACTAGCAAAAATTCAAAAGTTGATAATGCGCTCCTTTGGTGAGGAAAACATAGCTGCCTATATGGCTAGTGGGCAACACTCAAGAGAACAATTCAGACACCACATGTTCTGTAAGAAAGAGGAACAAGAAAACACACACATACATAAGCTCAAAGAATAATTCTTCATTGCCTATGAAAAACAAAATGCACATTCTTCTTGTCATTCAGCTTTCAGAATCTGGACTAAACTTATTTTCAGCCCTTCCAACAGTGGCTCCAGCCAAGACCTCTGTGCTGCTTCCTGCCTCCACACCTGTGTGTGCTTTCTCACTTGGACACCCTTTGCTAAGGCCTCAACTCATGTACTAAGGGAACCTACACAGATTTGGCTCGGTTACCGATGTATTCAGGACACTGCTCTCTCTCCTCTGGGCTCTTCTTCTATTTGTCTATCTTTTTAACTTGGTTGCATACTTATAAACTGCCTGGTATTTTCAACTGCACTGTGTGTGCGCCCACACAAGCCTGTGCACGTGTGTGTATGTGTAAAGACTTCAAATTCAAGGAGGTAAAAAATGGAGCCTCATATTTCCTTATCATCTTTCATGAATTCTATGAACATAGTAGATGCTTTACAAATTAATCCTCTGCAACTTTAGCTCCACGTCTTCCCTGTGAGAGATTCCCCTATCTTCTGCTTGAAGGGAATGCTTGTGTTCAGTGTTTGGGAGGCAGGCGGAGAGATGATGGGATGTGGTCTTCTGTGTACTTTCTCCCCGGGGTCAGATGTCCTCTGTTACACATTTTCTGCTTGAGGAGAGAGACTCCACATCCTTGCTGTTAAGAACAGGGACCCTGGAGCTAAGCCAGCTTGCCTCTTACAAGCTCTGTGATCTTGGGCGGGTCGCTTACACTCTCTGGGCCTCTATTTCTTCTCCTGTTAGTTTTAGTGATGATAACAGCACCTGGCTGGCTCATAGTGTGGTTTCTGATGAATAAACGAGGTAGTAATGTATAAAGGTCTTAGAAGAGTGCTGGACATAAGTTTTTCAGGAATTCATCATCACCTGCATTGCTTGTTTTAGGCTTCAAACATTCGAGAACGGGGCCATTTCTGCCTTTCCTGTAGCAGGTACTTTCCCTCAAAAAAGTTTTGGCCCTGGGGTGATGCAGAGGCCACCTTGGATCCCCTCAGCCCCCCAGCCCTCCAGCTCACTCAAGGGGTGCACTTGCCTCATGCCAGCAGCTGTACATGATCTGGTAGATGGTGTCTGACGCCAGCTGTGGCCGATAGAGCCGGTGGCCCTGGGAGACCTTCACAACCACCTGGGAGTTGTCATACAAGTCATAGGGCTGCTTCCCGAGGCTGAACACCTCCCACATCAGGATTCCTGCATCACACCGAAGACCAGCAGCAGACAAAAAGAAAGCTGATGTCAGAAGGTACAGGGTTGGTGGAATGAGAGCCACACCACAGTCTGGAAGAGCAAGGGACCCTGGGGAATGAGTTCTAGTGAGGTGGGGATCGAGTAGAGAGCCCAGAGTCTCTTCCCCCACGTTCCTGAGACCCGTCTGTGTAAGCTTGCTGTAAACCTGTGCATGGCTCCGTAGAGGGAGCCACTTGGGGCCAAGGTCCTTGATGTGCTCCAGGAAGGCAGCTGGGGCTTCCTTGGCCTCACAGTGGTACCAAACTGTGTAGTGAGCCCCGAGGCCACCCCTGATGAGTGATCCATTGATGTCCTTGGCCCCTCTTTTCCTTCTGCTTTAGCAGTTCTGTACAACTTCACACAATCAAATTACCTTTCAGTGGAAAATTAAAGATGAAATCATTGACGACTTCTCCCTTTCTCCTGTTGCTGCAGACTGAAAATGTTTTATACATCAGGAGCCCTTTGGGGAATCTGGTCAAACCACCAGCTCGCTCCATGGGAAAGTGGAAGTGGATGCACAGCAGTTGTGGGTTCAGTCTCAGGCTGTTCACGGGGAATTGTGAACTCCAGGTTAAGAAACTCAGTTTCGGTCATGGTGGTCAAGAGGATGGGGTCAAGCAAACGGGGCCTTTGAAGCCCAGTTCTGCCACTTGCAGGCTGGGTCAGTTCCTTAACTCCTCTCAACCTCAGGTCCCATGTTCTGTAAAAGGGTATGCACACCTGGTGGACTTGCCATGAGGATTAAGCAAGATGTAATGTGGAGCACTCTTCAAAGAGTGCCAGGGCATTTTAAGTGTCGTCAGAGTGATGCTATTCTGTCCAAGGACAGAGAATTTCAACAGTCAGACAGGTTCAAAGCCTCCAAAAACCAGAAATATGAAAGAACCATAACTGAGGCCTTGACTTCAAACTTTCTTTGACTTTAAGACTACAGATTTTATGTAAAATATTTATAATAAAGTAATTAACCTTATAAGTTGTTGGGGGCATATTCTTTGCATAATCTTTTCTTTTTTAAACCCACACATTCCAAAAGAATAATCCAAAAGAATGCTGCTCTCTCACAACTTTCTCTTTGAGAGGTTATACAGTTATTTCAAGGGTAACATTGCTGCTCAAAATGTCCATGGGGCTCCTCTCTGGGAATTGCTTTCAGAGCCCCTGATTCATTTTGAGTACCTCCACTGGGGTCAGATTGTTTAAGAATAGATTTATTATTTGCTAACAGCCAGAAAATACCTGGGGCCAAGTTCTGTCACATAAGGTGAAAAAGCAAGCTGGGGAATGCTGTTGTCTTATCAAAAACAAGCTGCGACTATTGAATGAGAGCACTGATTTTAAAAATATTATTCATTAGGCATATCCCTTG